TCTTACTGCTGTAAACACCTTGTTGCAAAACCTCACATGTACAGATGGGGACTCCCATCTTGTTGTCCATTTATACTGATTTGCTTGGCATATCCTGCTCCTCACCTGACCTTCAACACGAGACTTTTCCCTCCTCACAGCCTTTGGTCACACACAGGGGCTGGTCATCTCACCTGCCCACTGGATGCAACTCTCCTGAGTCTCTGTCTTCACAGGCCACTCGAGTCCATGACTCTGGAAACAGGTGACTGGATGCACACATGTATTTCAGACAAGATCTTGCCAGGGCTTTCTTCAGCCCTCCTGGTGCCTTCCTAATCACCCATCCACTCCAGTCCTCCCCTTCTGCATTATCCTTCTTCTTTCTTAATTAGGCCACCTACCTTTGCAGGACTGACAAAAGGGGCTCCAGGAGGATATTTAATTATTTAATGTATTATTTCCCTGTTAAGAAGGAGGCTGCACAATTAGGGAATCCCTAACAACTCTCCAGAGTGTTCTAAACAAATTTTTAAGACAAAGGTGATGTAATTTCTCTGAGATGCACTAGAAGGGACCTCCAGACAGTTTGGGAGGTCTATCTGCCCATGTCACTCTTGCTACCAAAAAGGCAGCAGCATCACCCATCACTGCTGGCCTTTGAGAACAGCACCTCTTGCACAGACACAGTTACCACACTCCTGGTAATCTGCATATGAAACACACCCAAGTGCTTTAATTTTTTCCTCATAGGTCAAAAACCATCTGCTTTTTTTCTCTCCTGGACTCTTTCAAAATTGTCTGTGTTGTCCCTAAAGTGTGGCCCTATAGACCAGACACAGTGCCAAGCTCAGGCTTCAGCACAGCTTAGCCTGGAGAAATTATCTCTTTTGCCATATGAACACAACTGCTGTCAGCATCTTCCAGGGCGATCTTTGCTTTTTATGCAGCGGTATCACAATTTGATTTATATTTTGTTTGCAGCCCAGCTGCAATCCACAGATTATTTAGTCTCAAACTGCCATTTATAAAGATATCTTTTATTTTCATTCCATTTGTGCTTATTTATCTCCCTCCTGAATGTAGTATTTTCCACTATTTTTTTCCCTGACCTTCTCTCCAACTCACCAAAACCATTTTTAAATTTATTCAGGCTTCTCAGCCTGCAGTCCTGGTGAGCTAATACTTTTATTTATTTTATAAATGTAGCCTCTAACTCATTTATTTACTGCATTAATGACAACATTTGATAGAAACAGTCATGAGAGACTCCTGTTGGCCTCGCTTCCTTTCCTCCAGGTTTGACTACCTACTGATATATTCCATTCCCTCCTGCGCACAGAAGGTCATCCACCAAGGCTGCCTGGACAGTACTGTACTTCCAGGGCCTTTCTGCCTGTACCCAGGGAAGTATTTCATCTTCTCCACAGTCTGTAGTAGCCTTTTGCTCCTGGAAGAGAGACAATTTTCTTCTCCTTGAATTCCCTCTGTCTGGTGATTGTGTCCTGATGGCCCACTCAGTTTAAAACACAGCTTTCAGTGCTAACCACTCTGCACATCCAGTCAATTGCTTTGATTTCATGATCAGCCTGAAGCAAAGCAAACCACAGGGCAGCCTGTGGCACAGGGACACACATGCCCCTCAGTCATGACAATCTTGTTCTTCTCAAAGCTGGGCAGAATTTTTGCTCCCTGGGAAACAAAGCAGTGCAGGAGTGATGGAATTGCTCTGGGCACAGCCACGGCCCACTCAGGCTTGGGAAGGTTCTTCCACCACCTGTGGCACACACTGCCCCAGGATCCACACTGCATGATTACTGAACAGGTGTCTCACAGCACTTGTACACCTTCTGGAGAATGGTATATCTGTAAGAACACTCAGTCACTTCAAGGCCTTTGATGGCTTGCAAAATAAAATAATTTTTCATCAAATAAAAATTCCAGTGATGAAATTTATTACTGTCAAGTGTTTGGCTGTAAGCATATGCTCCAAACTGAAGTACTCTACACCCTTTCTTTAGATGGCCAACTTGGAAGAAATACTAGTCATCTACAGTCACTTGCACACTCATAGCAATGCATAATGGTGGCTGGAAAGAACCCGAAATCATACCCTACCAACTCAGTGGCAAAGAAGCAAAAATCCACCATGGAGTGCTGCAGAAAACGTGTACAAGTGCTATAAGCCCATTTAAAAGTAGAGGACATTTCACACGAAAAAAATGAACAGTATGAAACAGCAACCCACCAGTGGAAATGGACACGGTCTGTCCGTCTGAAAATATTTCTGCTGCACTGACTTCCACACACACATTCATTCACTAGCGCTGGTCCTGGTCTCATGCATGACCCTTGCTCTGGTAGTTGACTCACAGTTAGAGATGACCTCGGGTGGGGAGGGCAATCCCATAGAATCTTCCCTGATCACTTGGTCAAATTGTTCTGACAGTCCTCAGTGCCCCAACTGTTCTCTGAGAGTCTTTCCAGTTGATCCACATGATATTTGAAGTCTCAAAACTGGACCTAGTACTTGAGCCAAAGCCTTGTTATTTTGAGAACATGGATTATCTCAGGTGGCCATTATTCAACGCTTTTACTTATGACACCTTCTCCTCAATATCTGTTTCGTGATCTACTACAACCTCAGACACTGTTTTAAAGAATTGCTGCACAGCCAAGAAGTACTGTAACTGTGTGGTAGATTTTTGTTACTTCAATTCTCTTACCTATGTGCCCTGCTTGAATTTACTCCTCTTTTAGGCGTTTTTCTAATTCATAAAAATAATTTCAAGTTTTAATTCAATTTTTGGAAGTGATTAAACTATCTCCAGTTGATATAATAAAATAATTCAATACCAAAATATTATATATTGCTTCATCAATGGAAATGACTGAATAATACCAAAAGCAAGACAGGTCCCTATGGAGCAGCAATTGTTCTATTTATTGAGTTTGATGATGGAAGACTGAGAGCATTTTTCTGAACAATCTAACCAGCCTGATAGTACTTCACAGCACTTCAAACAAGGCTGGTATCTTCTACTATACTTTTAAAATGTCTTCTTAAAGCAGCTGTTTATCTTTTTCATCCTGAAGCTTATTATATTGCTTTTAAATAAAATTCTTTCAAAACTGTGTAGCAGTAGCAAATTCTTACTGGTAGGGGTAAACCTTAGTCTAGATTTACTTATTTTTAATTGACTATTTAATTCAATGATTATCTCTCTTCTGTGAAGCTTGAAGGAAAAAACATTCAATATTTAAGTTTTCCCTAATGAAATAAATGCTCATCCTTTTGTTAAATAATTGATTTACCTTCCCTTTATAGTAGAGGTTTCATTAGGTTTTAATGGTCGTAAAATTTTTTGAGTTTTTCTGTTCTTTTTTACACATATCTTGCTTTTACATTTATACATAGCTACATATTCTTTCTATTCTTGTCAATTTTTCTCTTTAAAGAACTGGCACAATTATAACAGCCTCTTACTATGCTCCCAGGTTTCCCACTGCATTGGTGTTACTTCTCATTTTATGTCCTTTTATTAGTTCCTAAAGATGATAAATAATTTATCATTCTGTTTCAGCCGTTTTATTAAGTATCCTGGAGTGAATTTCATCTGCTCCTACTTAGGTGAGAATTTCCAGCTTTCTAAAATACAACCTTTCAGAGATGACCACCCTCCCGAATCCTCTTCATCTCCTACAGGCACTTCCCTGTGGCACGACACAACAAACTCCTTTTGTAGACCACTGAGCTGATTTGAAGTCCATGTAGATTCTACTGTATAGCTTTCCACCTTTGCTTAAAATTACAAAATTCCATTTTGTAACCCAAGATCAAACCACTTTCTTCTTCCAGATTAGCAAACAATTTCTCACTAGCCTGAATCAAACCTAGGAGTCACTCTTAAACTAGATTCCATGAGCCAGTGTCCCCCTCATTTATAGGAATATTTGTGCAGTGTGCCCCACCAGAGAATTTTCTGTATGTGTTACTCCAAGATGGATACCGATGGAATAGAGCTTTTGTCAAGGCCAACAGTTTCTCTCAGGATGATTCATTTGTAACATAACATGTCACATTTTACCTTTCATAAACATAAATACTCTCTGCTACTCTTTAGGCATGGCAAGTTGGCAAGTTTTGATAGCAGCTAGCACTTCCTGGGAAGGAATAAGAATTTTATCTTCCATTATTCTTGAGAATAAAGTCAGGAGTAAAAATGGCTGTAGGTGATCTTTTGGAGAAATTCAAGCTCTGAGCATTAACTCTCATCCCAGAACTGGAATGAGTTAATATGTGAGTCTGTGTAATGATTCTCACACGTTACAGATTCAAGATGTAAAGCATATAGACAGGGAATCTCATAGGTCTGGAAAGAGCCCTTTTCCACTAGAATTCTGTCCATTTATCACAACTATTTCTTTCCATTAAATATGTTACATTTAGAACTCAACACTGAACAGGAAAAAAACCCAGCATGGAATAGAAGAGGCTGGTACTTAGGCCAGACAGACAAAATAACTTTGATGAAAGTAATACCTTTCTTTAAAAGTTCTTTCACTTGTTAAATGAACTGCTAGATTAGTTTTGAGACTAATCTTTGAACTAATAAAAGGTTTGTTTGTTTTGTAAGTTTGTTTTCTGGCCTTCTAGTGATATGTTGAATACATAGTCCATACATGGCCCATTGGGATTCAACATAAGTAGCAGCATAAAGATTTATCTAATCAAATGAAACAACAGAAACATAGTATAACTTTAGTTTTTCAAAAGTGCCAACACTGTCCGTGCAAAAAATAAAACCAGAAGATTAAAGGAGAACACCACCACCACACAGTAGATTTAAACTTACTCTTTATGATGCACTTTCATCAAAATTTGTAGTTGCCAAGTATCAAATTTTACTCATGCAACATCAACCCACTAAGAAATACATATTTTGGTGAGAAAATTAAAGTCCATATTTATGTAAAAATGGTTTCAAAATAAAAATTAAACAAGACTTTTTTTTTTTACAAAAAAAAAAGTTTGTTTTTTGTTTTTTGTTTGTTTTTGTTAACAGAATAATTATTTGGAAAACGTTAATTACCCACATGAAATAGTTAAAGGAATTTAAATGTATTTAAAAATGGAAGATTCTGCATTTACATAGTTATATGCCATTAATATTGAAGATATGCTCTCTGGCAAAAAACTTCTCATGCTTAAAAAATGCACCTCAGTTTTATACTGTACATTACAACATACAGTAGTAAGAAACAGAATTAGGAAACAGGTTATATGCAAAGAAAAAAGTTACATATACAAGACAATTAAAACTGACACAAAAAAATTTAAAATGTTCAGTTTAAATAGTATTTGAAGGCAATTCACAATCATTTCAGGAGTTTTGTGAAATTTAAGGCCATTAGTTCTAAATAAAATATATCTGACACAAACTCACAAAACTGTGTATTTTGTACAAAATATACATGCAAAACCATTTTATAATTATATACGAACAGGCATATAATAAATTTTTTGGGGTACTTCCGTACACAAAATTGTGCACAAAGCAACATAGTTGTGCAATTTTTAAACCAGTTAATTAACTTTATTATTCATGCACTCTGAATGGAAATGTGATTAAATGACAACATTAAACCCAAATATTAAGAGTCAGCATCCCTTTGAATGGGCAATCTAGACAAAAAAAAAAGTTAAAATCTTAAATTTTTTAAGTTTAAAATTGTCCACTATAAAACATTTGCTGTAATCACTTCAAAAGACATTTCTGATGCAAGATTTCCAGTACTTTAAGGAATGCATGATATGATTTAACGAGCTCAATGAGTCAACTATAATACACTGATAGTTCTGGATTGAGGTAATTTTCTTTAATTAATTATAGCAAGTAACTATTCTAATTTGTTTCAGCAGTTAGTTTAAAAAACTGTAAACTTAGATAAACTTCGAAATTGGAGAATCTCTGAAAAAATACACATACCTCCCCCTCAGAGTCTGGAGTTAGTTTTAAGTTATATGCAGTTATGCTATTCACATTTAGGAGTTGAAATTTTCAGTACATGAGATGAATGGATTACTAAGCACTGATTGAAGCACTTCAGTTACTTTAAAACACATCGATATATTTGTCCTTTTCTTAGCTTTCATTTGTATTAGTCTGGACAAACATTCAAAGAGATATTGCTTCTCTTGTTATCTTGTGACAACCTATTGCAAGCTAGAAGACAAGTGAGTCGATATTCCAAACTTTTATTCTTAAGAATAGTTATAAAAGTACTGAAATTTAAAAATAGTAACATGTAAACATTGATACAGAGTAGTAGCATTCCTATACATTTATATACACACAGTATTCAGAGAGGACCCAATCTTCTGAGTTGAAAACCTGACTTGTGCTTTCCCCCTCCAATAAATACATCAAAAAAGTAGGGTGTTTGGATTAAAAAAAAAGTCTCAGAACATCAACAGCTTGCTCCTAGCATTTAAAAGCTTTACAGTTGCTTATGCAACTATAGGAGAATTTTGGTATGTGAAGAGAACTTTTCTAGCTCCAAAAAGTTATCAGAAGCTACTGCTGCATCCAGAGATTTGTGAAAATGCTAAACACTTCAGAGCAGTCATATCTGAGTCTGCAACACGTGAATTGGGGGGGTGTAGGGTGGTGGTGCAGGTGATGGCTTTATTCCTCTGACTCTCATGTAGGACAGAAACTGTTCTGGGATTTCAGCCAATACATCCTTAGCAAGTCTTGCCATGCTTAACACGTGGTTTCCACTTCTGTCAATGTAATCTCGGAATGGCACAAACTACAAAACAAGAGATGCTCACTCAGACCATCATGCAGACACAGAATATATCTTACAATATAAAAATAAGAAAGCTTAACCTAGGGAGTTAGAGTACATGAATATGTTACATTACACAGCTTTAATGTACATATAAATACATTGCATTTTATGTTATATATTTTATAAATATACATTGTATCTCAATTTGTACAGATCTGCCATCTAATAGAAATAGTGTAATGCTTTCACTTAGGTGAACCCCTTCACATGAGCCATGGCTAGCCCAGATTGCTGATGACACGCTTCACTGATATATTTGGGTTATCTCTCAACCTTTTCCATGCAAGAAGATAATTGTTTCAGAAAGCTATTCTTAGCTTACATTCCCTGCTCCTGGGGCTGCCCACCAGACTGCCTCCCCTCTGGCACTTGGTGAATAAATTTTTTTGACCTCTGAAGTAAACAAAACAGAAAGGGTGACTTTAAATTTTTTTACCGTTTCGCATTATACCTAGTAGAACTATGAACCACCTGAACACTTTTAATATGATACTAACAAAAGCATAAAGAAGCTAAGCAAAAAAGATTGGATCAAAACCAAACTTGTTCTGTGATATCCAGATGTTCAACATGTAAACCTGCCCACTCCTGGCTTGGATTCCGTGATACTTAACGAGAATCGTGTGCTACTGGCATACAAAAAAGAAACAATCCAGGCTCCTCGATTTTTTCCTTGTATAAAATGTACATGTAGTGTGAGTTTGAGAACATGTGTCCCATCCTAAGAGATCACCTCACCCAGCAGCCTGCAGACATGAAATCTCAGACCACTGTTCTGTAGCAAAGCAGGGCTGTTTCAACAGTGTAATTCTTCAGATGCAATTACACAACACAGATGCCTGATTTAGCTGCTCTTCTCCTCTCACACTGCACAGATGTCAGAGGAGCTGGAGGAACTATGGACAGGTAAGCAAACCTAGAGATGTACAAGGACAGCTCACGTGGAAATGGCAGAGGAATAGAAACAAAGGTGTAAGAGAAACCAAAGGGAAACTGATGGAACATCAAGTGCTTTTTCTATAATTTACGGGTTTAATTTAAAAGGCTGATATGAAAAATTCTCAGGAGAAACAACAGGTGCATCGCTACAAGTAAATATTCTCCTAAAATGTCTTAAACAACAAAAGGATAAGAAAGGAGCAGAAATTTAAAAGAAACTGAGGAAGAATTTGTACACATGTAATAAGTCCCTACAATATGTATACATTCTAGTGAGGAAGAAATAGTAAAGAATATGCCCTTACATGAGTTGCAGTCAGTAGTAAATAACCACATACAGTGACTCACTTATCAGACAAGCTTTTCCTGTACTAATTTAATCAAAATATTTCACAATACTGTTAGAATTAATAAGTAATTTCACTAGTTAATTTTAATTAACCTAATACACAAAAAAATAAACTTTTTATATTTGAGTAGTTAGTTTTATAAAGGCAAATCAGTTTTAGCCTGCTGGATAGAAAATAAAGGTCAAACCAAACAGAGGGTTTGACAGAATCCCTATTTATTTATTTATTTAGTCTATAAAGTAAATATTTGTTAGTATTTAGACAGAAAAAAAGAGCACAAAATAATACTGTCTTCGGGTAATTCAATATGGCATGGGACAACATTCTGATTAAGATATATTAATAATAAATACATGTTTTATTACAATTCTGATATGCAATTAATTCCAAAGAAATACAGAAGGGTATTCATTGCATTTTTTTTTTTTTTTACTTTCAGCTTAGGTTAGTAATTTCTGATGCAAAGCATTTTCACAAATCTTGTTTATAAGATGTTAGAATTCTATCCATTTTATGCTCTTTGAAGTTTTTTGGGCTGCCGTTACTAGAGAAATTATGTTGCTTATATTTAAATGAATTTAAATATAAGGGTAATGCATGCCAGAGATATCTGAAATAGTTGTAAAAAATCTGACATGGCACACAGGGCTTTGCAGAAATACTAGCTTGGGGTCCACCCCACTCACTGCTCTGTTGAAGGCACTGACATTTACAGAAAAACAGATTACTGACAGGTCTTCTCCAGCCAATAAGGAACATAAAGGACCACCAAGGAACAAAGGCTTTGACAAAATGAGAAAAAGTTTCTTATCTCTTGTTCAGCTGTCTTACAGCATCCCTACTTTTAAAACTATCTGACAACAATGACCAAAGGAGCCAGCACGTTTTACTCTTCTAAGAGTTTTGGTATCTTACTTTCCCATCAGCTGTTATCTCTGTATGTTGCAAAAATGAAAAAGCTATCTTTCTCAACTATTAGAATTTAGGAATCCAAGACTTTCTTTAGTGTATATCCATAGAATCTGAGGGTAATTTCATTTCTGTCATCTTATGCTCATTTCTAATCCCCATTTAGAAAAAAAAAGAGAGGGAATTTTAATGTAGTATGCAAGAAGACTGAAGAAAAAGATCTGATCATTTTAATTTCCATATATTTATGTAGATTTCTTTATTTTTGTATTCAAATAAAACCAAACTATAAAATCAGGTGTCAAATACGTGCTTTGAACACATCCTTGGATTGAAATATTACATCCATCAGCAGTTATCAATCAATCCTTAAATATTCACCTATCAGTATTTGTAAATTTAAACATTTTGAAAAGTTTCAGTTCCTGCAGATATAAATGCAAATAAATAAACATATTCCAAAGTTCATCAGCTGCTATCTGACCTTAATTACCACGCAGTATGAGCTATTGAAATGGCTCAGTTATTCTCCCTCTATATATATTCTACTAAACAACAATATAAAAATCCAACCTGTCTTGAAGAGAAATAAGAGAAAAAAAGTAAGAGAAAAAATAAGTGAACACTATGAAGTTTGACAAATAGGAGGAATACAGGAAGAAGAAATGGCAGATCCAAGGTGAGGTTTGAATCTAAGGATCCTGTCAGTGTTTAAGAGGCATTTGGACAATGCCCTTATTAACATGCTCTAACTTTCAATCAGCCCTGTACTTAATGTCTGTTGTAGGACCCTTCCAACTTAAATACTTAGCCACTGTCAGGAAAATACTGCTTCCATATAGGATTTAATTTTAGATAGATATCATTTTTTCTAGAAACATCATGTTTCTCCAAATTTTCAATAGCTAGCTCTTCTTCGTGGCTGCATAACACACCAAGACTTTACAACAGTGTCCTGCCAGTTAGAGGTAATTTCCTGACAAATGCAAATCCACTACTGTGCATTATAAAAAGGCTTAGAGCTATCACAGAGAGTTTCTGAGCTTGTTAAAAACATTTCAAGATAAAATATGTCAGTGCTAAGGTAAAATGAAAGGTAGGAATATAGACAGAAACGAGAATTCAAAACAGAGGAAAATCTATCTACGAGAATATATTTTCTCTCCCACCTGCACAATGTCTCTTTCTGCAAACCTTCCTCTTGAGGAAATCCTCACTACATCCCCATCCAGTTCTTCCATAGCTTAAAAAAAAAAAAAAACAACAAAAAACCAAAAAAAGCCTATGAGTTCAGGTATACAACAAAATCATCTTATTGAGGAAAAGGTCAGACAACTTATACATTCGAGCAATAAAACCAACAATTCTTTCGGTAACTCTGTTAAGATCATTTGCATCATAAAATACATCATGTTTTGTAGCTGTTTTGCACTTTTTCATGGTGACAATACATACTTTTATCTTTATTGTCATCTTCAGAAAAGAACAGACTATGACAAAGTTTTATCCTTTCATCTCTCAAAACAGCGAGTATATCTGGTTTTGTAAGGCAATATATATATACACTTTGAAAGGTGGAGAAGAATTCATCTTCAGCAGCTATTGTTACACAAGTTATCAGAGGATACAGCACGGAGGTAATAACTCACAATTCACACTGAAAAAGCAGTATCTTCTAATGCTAAGGAATGAGGAGTGCTTAAAATATTATTAAATTTATTGAGCAATTCTTCTTGTATCTCCTGAGCAGGAAACAGGAAATCTCTGTTGTCCAGATACCTGGAAGCCATTCTAGGTAGAAAGATGTACCTGCTCTCTTGTCAGTGTTGAAATGGATGGATTTGGGATCTCAGATTATTGCTCAGATGTTGGATCTGCAATTCTACAAACCTTCTTTCAGTACACTATGAAAATCAAAGCCCTGCACCACTGAGCTTCTCAGGGGTTTACAAATTGGGTTGAATTCACTGAAGCCAGCACTTGAAAACCGAGTTCTTCTGACCATATTTGTTCAAAGAAACCAATCAGTAGGTCTGCAGAGCATGTTGCCTGATGATGCTGTTGCAAAAACATACGTGTGCTCAAACCAGGAGACTGAACAAGTATTTGAAGGAGTTTCACTAAAAAATTTCCAAAACAGACTTAAAGCACATCCTACCCACGAAACTCCAACCTAAAAACAGTACTCAGGGAAGTATCATATTTGTTTAGTCTGCTCCTAATATTCTCTAGGAAACTACCCACGGTTAGATACAGAATACTGGACAAAAATGATCCTGTTGTGACTTGCTATAGTCATTCTCACATCCTTTAAGTAAAGCTCTGACAAATGTGTCATCTACCCAAGCTTCAGACTTTTAAGAACTCCCCTGGTATCTCCCAAGGGCTGGGAGATCTAGGGAATGGGGAGATCTGAAGAGGAGCAGCTTGGTCTCTCTATGGCAGAACTGAAGCTTCAGGGTCACTTGAATGTCCAGACTGTGCCTAAACATCACCCTCCTGCACACACACTTCTCCAGCATGCACAGCAGACATGGAGTCTGTTGTGTATTCCAGGAGGAATTTTTGTAGATGGAAGTAATTTCTCTGTCCTCTTGGGCACTGATGGCATACAGACTTGGCATACACCTAATGGGTGAATCTCGTGTACTGAGGCAGTACACGCCAGGATTGTGGCTCCACAGATGGAAACTATCCTGCAGTACAAACAGAATCCAGACTTCAGGAAAGGGGCAGGGATGACACCCCAAGAACATGTCCTGACTGAGAAAGGGGGCCTGGGCAAATCCAAGGACTAGACAAACAGGGAGAAAGGGGAAATGCAATGGAGGGGTGAGAGAATGGTAAGTAACATACCATTCGGACCATGCTGGAATTCTCAGGAGTAAAAATGAAGTCTACAAATTTCCATCATATGTATTTATAAATATAAACTTAAACTGTCTTTTCTCACTGATTGTGGCATACAATCATCTGAAGTGTAAGTGTTCACCTGGACAATTTCTTCATGGAATAAGACACATAAAATTATGACTAATATACCACTTTGCCAAACAGAGTAAGAATAATGCTTGTAATAAAATAAAATAAATTTTAAATAAATAATTTTTATCTGTTTTTTCCTCTTTTTTCTACATTTAGAGTGTTTGTACAAGAATTAACATGTACAGTCATTAGTAAACTCTAAACATCTGTGGTAGTAGTATATTAATTAATAAATTAATACAAATAATGGAAGCAGCTTAGTTATTTCAACAGAGAATGGTGTTCCAGAATATCATAGAAAGAATATGTAAACAACCTGGTAATTTCTCTCCTGCTGTATGTAATATTCTGTCAATGCTGCTACACAGTAGGGCTCACTCCTGTTACCAAGTGAAGCCCTGTTCATTCCAGATCACCCCAAATGTATTTATTTTTCTCAAGATTTTATTACTGCAGTAAGATCAATATTTCCAGTCAACTGACACTTCATGAGGCATCTAAATATTTGTGTTGAAGAAATTTAATATTGCTTGAGTATACTTACTTTACTGTAAATGCTGAGCCCCCATATGGTTCTAACTTGAACAGAGAGCCTGAGGGGCTACTCAGCTCCACATGGTAGCTTGTAATCACACTGAGTTATCAATCAATCCAGCTGGAAATGCCAACAGCAGTCACTCCTCGCTTCATATAATGTTCTTTTAAAGACCAATATTTGTTTGAAAAGCCCCATATTACTAAAACGTAAGCAAATATTAAAAAAAAAATAGAAAAAACACTGGAACACTTACCGTCAAACTCTGCTGGTCCTACCCCCACTATAATTATGGACATTGGAAGCTTTGAAGCCTTCAAAAAAAGAAGAAAAGGAAGTTTAGTGTATTACATAACCTCTGCCAATAATATGAGATCTGAGAAAAAAGTGAACAAAAAATACACAAAAATTGTGTTTTAAAGAATAATTTTTCCCCCCTAAAAAGGTTGAGTGGTATAAACTGTCTGCTTAACTGGTATAAAACATCTTGGATGAAGACAGAAAGGCACAGGATTATTTTACGTTTTCAGTACTAAGTCTTTCAATCTTATAGGATGCTAATTAAAGACAACAAACTATGTTAGCATTTAATACTAATATGACAACTAAGAGGACAAATTTCTCTTAGAAACTTTTGTAAACTGACAGTAATTGCAAACATGTAACTAATACCAGTCTGACATTTATTTAAAGATGCTTTACTGTTTCTTGGTATTACGCAGCTGCTTGCAACTACAGGACACTATTTTGTACATTGATCTTATGCGAATTTTTAAAAGAAAATAAACAATCTATTTGGGCAATATGTGTATTACATTTATCCCATTAACGAAATTTTACTCAATTATCCATGCCACAGAAAAGCAAGATATAGAATTGGCCTGTGGTAAGATTTTTAATTTTACTTAATCTTTTTCATTCAAAGATGATATCTGGCTTTTCCAGAATAAACTGTAAAATCGTTAACATTACAAAGACACTATCTTAAATATTGGATTCTCCTGCCCTGATAGTAGCATCAGTTTATAGAAATAATGTGAACCTGCCTCTGATGAAGAACGTATCAGCTAAAACCAAAGAACAATCAGCAAATGCCAAGGTTGACAACTTACTGAGCTAATTCTGTTGCTTACTGAGATATTCTGATAAACCTTAAAATTTTAAAGATTAAACAGGAGTATACACTGGTCAAAAAAACCCATAGATGTACACCTTATGATCTCTTAGAACAGAACCTTTTATTTTTCAGATATTTTCTAGAATGTTATTTCTTGATTGTGAAAAATGTAGAAAAACGTATCTTTTAAAGAGATGCCTACTCACACAGACACAGAATTATATGATGCAATGAAATATGAAACAGTAAGTAGCAAGGACAGCATAAAGACAAAGAGTTAAACTTTTGCATATAAACTAAAGTGTTGGCATTTCCTGAATGACAGCATAACCTTTAAACAGTTTGGTAAAACAGAATGTGTCTGACATATATGCTGTAATGAGAAAGATGCCTAAAAGCACAATTAATGTTAAAAATTGAAATTGAAATTCTGAGTTTTATACACATCAACTTGCATTGGACATCATTGCCCTTTTTAGTATTACGGATATTAAGACTGAAAAAACTGCTACTGAATAGCATTAATTAGTTCTGTCATGGTACACTGTGCTCATATTTCAAGATATATGCAGAGAAATGAAGGCCTCTTCATAAGAAACCAAGAGAGCAAATATTCCCAAACTTCCACTTATTGCAAGCTAACAACACATCTGCTGTGCTTCCAGACCATTGTAGACTAACAGTCATTATTCGTCAAAATGAACTATTACTGAAAACAAGGTTCTTCTGCATGTCTTAGTGGCAAATGAATTAATCTTACAAGCCAACAGCACTTGCTGGTCTCTTATGCACAGACTTCAAACAGAAGGGTGAGTCACAATCAAGAACTGCCCTTTTTTTCCTCACTTTTTGTGAGCCTTTTTGTCACCTAAAAGCAGCTCATCTAAAAGAAATCATGTTTCAAACTTGTAGGCTGGGCTGGAGAATGAATTTCCAAGCTTACTAATACACAGATTCTGTGTATGTGCTGCAGGCTGGGACTCGAGGGCATCTTGCTCCCTAGTGAGAAGCAGCACACTGGGGCAGTATTTTCATGGCACCCCACAAAGTGCAAAGTATCAAATCCCTCAGGAGGTACTGAAAGTGGGTCTTCAAAACAATGCCACCTAATTCTATACTATTCACTTGGACATGATGCTAAATTACTTTAACGTAGGCTTTTCAACTCACCCCTTTGCTGTTAACCAGCTCCACTGTGGTATGTTAAAAACTATTGGAAGAGATCTTTTCCAACCATGTCTAGGAGTGTTTCTGTGCGTACTTTCATCTGAAATTTCTCATGGGCAAAAGCACAATAGAACCTGCTCATAATATAGAATTTTACCTACACACATAGCAGTTTTGAAGAGAAAAATACTGAAAATAATGCAGAAAACTAGGAAATAAGGAACTTACAGAGTTTTAGGGGACTGTTTTGATGGCAATCAGATTATTGGTATGCTTGCCATTTAAGATTAGAAAGTTGGGGTTAGTTTATAAAAAGTGTGGGGATCACAGCTGTCTGCAATTATGAGAAAGATAGAAAAGAGTTTACTATGCAAGACTGCATAGTGGGACATGCATGAGGAAGGAGGAGGCAAGAAGTAGAGAGGAAAATCATACGAACATACAGTGTAAGAGAGGAGTATCATTTATCACAGAACACTATCTAATTAGGTCAAGTTTAACTTTTGCTTTCTTTTCATCTTTATGCATAAACTTTTCATGTTTGGTAAAAATAGGCACTTATGGAACACACCTAGTGCCTAAAATATGAATTCCTAGAAACATACTTTCAACACTTTCAGTAAAACTTACATTCACTATGGATTCTTTTGTCTGAGCCATATCAGATATAACTCCATCTGTAATAATGAGAAGAACAAAATACTGGGAGCCATCTTTTACTGAAGCAGCATATCTAAGGGAAGAAAAATCAACATTATAATAGTAAAAGAAATTATTAAAGGAATTAATATGAAAAAAAGCTGTATTTGTAAAATTTTACTACCAAGGACTGAAAAGCATAATACAGTGAATTTCAAAAGTAAAGACATTCATAACTAAGCCAGACATTATACTCTTAAATGAGAACATTGAAAAAACATAACTAATACAATATTGATAATCTGCATGTTGCAGAACACTGACGTGTTGCATAAGTGAAAAATGGGAACTGAACCACTACCAAAAGGAGCATGGACTGAATGTGCTTTATAGAATCATGAGACATTAGAAAGCCTAAGCTGTTTAACAGGTATTACCCTTTGGGGTACATAGCTTTGTATGAAGGGTATACATCACTACTGAATGGTTGGGTTTAGAAAACTTAACAGGAATCAACATGCTGCATATTTTTCTCTTCTTTTCTTTTTCCTTTACAAATCCAGATTACTTACTGTTGACCACGATTGCAGATTTATAGTTCACATTTATGTGTATGTTTGTAAAATGGCTGAACATGTACCCTGCAACCCTGGGTTAGATATAAATTTCTTTGCACTACCCACTGATGTCCTTTTCTTCCAGACTCAAGCTTCTCCTTGTGCTGTACAGGAATGCAAGATAAAATACACCCAGTGCCATTCCCACCTCAGTCAAAGGACCCAAGAAGCAACTACTCTTTGAAAATGAGCAGCTTTTGAAGGTTTGCAAAGTCCTGAAAGAGAAGGAGTCCCAACAGCCTCACTAAACTCTATAGTCTGAACAGAAGAACTTATTTTTTTGTGGGAAGCTGTTTGCTGCTTCACAGCCACTACAGTTCCTACTTCTATAAAGATCCTTGGTACTGCGAAGAAGTGAAAAAGTAGAACCTTGTGCAGTGAGTTGTATAGAGAGCAGTAAAAGAAAAAAAATTAGTTGCCACAAGAATACTTTTCAATACATGCCCAATAACCTAATATGACTGTCAAAGAACTCACTATTTTTTTGGTCACTGAGTATGAAAGGCCTGGTTCACTGAACAGAGTATATTCAATGATGGCCATGATGCTTGCATATGCTTACAAAATTCTCTGATAACAACACAGTGCATTGGCAAGCAAGTACTTCTGATAAATACAATGCTGCAGTCACATTTTCTAAGAGTTTGGAGAAAACCACAACTAGTTTACACAATGTCACCATCTTCCAGTCCCAAGATACAGACAGGTAAAGAAGCCATACAAGCAGTGAACCTGCTGGATATCACCCATCTGCACGCTGGCAGTAGGGAGTGATAGTTAAACATTGAGATTAGCAAGGCCTACCATGGAACACATTTTCACTGCCATGCAGAGACTTCTTTTATCTCACTTTTCCACAATGCTTATAAATTTTTCAATGATGGTAGGTAGGTTGTAAATCAGAGAGTAAAATAAACATTATTTTCCTATCTGAGCACTTAACACTGTCTACATATCTACACTGAAGAAATGGAACAGAAATTCCGTTATTTCAAATTTTTCACAGAGTAAAATGCTACAAAGCAAGAAAGATCTTATATGAGGAGAGGAGATGAGAGATGACACTAAGCTGAATCTGGTGTAGTTTAGATAACTCTCTAACTGGGGAAAGGATAAAAAAATCATTATCTGCCTAAAGAGTTTCCAAAGAATACCAATATCACAACAGGATAGTAATATCTGATACTGTTTACAGACATTCATCAAAGGCATTCTTTTAAGTAGGAGGGATGAGGAAAGAAGAAATTTCTTTGAGGCTGAAGGTAGATTTAAAGAGTAACTGCAGGGCAGGACCATGTCCTTGAGAGTCACAAGAATAATCAAGAAATTGAACCTTGAAGGAAATTGGTGCTACTGAGAACTGGAGTGATACATAGGTTGCTCTAGGGATGATCACGCAGTAGAAATCCTTGTGAAGACACTTAGCTTGCCCACTGTAATGTATGATTTGCTACCAGGAGGAGCTCCCAAAGTTTGCAACAACTTGATATTTAGACAAAAGTTCAGTGGAAGGACTACTACTACCAGCGAACAGCCTTCTGTTATTCTGCAAAAGTTGGCAAATATTCCTGAAAAACAGCCGGTGAGAAAAAGAACTAATTTTATGCCAATGCTTTGACAACACTGGATAAAAAATTTCAATTTTTGCAATGAGCAGCAGCCTTGAGATAAATTGCCACGTTCTCAGTCAGGTATCTCAGCTACTGTGACCAGTTCTGAAGAAAAAGAAAGAGCCAGAAAAACTGTTGGGTTAGACTTCCAGATAATGTGGCTAATGCAGACACTGAGTGCCCACATACATGGAAAACTGCTACTGCAGAGATCATGTCAAAGGAAAGATTAAAGGAGACAGCTACTCTCAGATGACAAGCACATAATTTTAATGGTATGATCTGAAGACAAAACAACTAACCCTAATGATAAATAGCTGAAATCAACTATCTAGCCATGCCAGGGGGCACAGAAAATTCTCTGCACCACAGAATTTGCAATTTATTTTCTGCTGGTCTGTAGAACTACCAGCAGCAAACCAGATAGCATATAAATATCTCTTCCTATTAAAATTAGCTATTTTGCAAGCTCATAAATAAAACATTACCAGTACAGTGACTTTCACATCCCTACTTCTTTATTTTGTAACCAGTAGTTCTTTGTGTCTACAAATAAAATAAAATCTGTTCAGCAAATCATCTAAGCCATATCACCCTCCTATATAAATTCATGGAGGGATTATACTGCCAAGGTCTTGAGCTCAAGATTATAAGTCAAGATCTTGTCTGCCAAAATAAGTCAACATTATCCTTCTTAACAAACTTCTATAAACACGGGAAGGTTTTTACTTTGAGGAGTAAGATAAGGTGTTGCATAACAGCAGCATGGCTTCCCAATGGTGATAGCTGTATCACTGCCTTAAAAGTGCCACTACCAGCTGGGAATTGTTGGCACAGAGAAACCTGGAAGATTTTGTTGACGTTTGGGACACTAAGTGATTAGAGAAACTACATATAACTAAAAAAACTCATAGTTTATAAAAATTTTTGATAGATGCATGTATTTTCTGTGAAGCAATAATTCTGTGCTCTGAAGAACAAAAAAGGAACATGACACAACAAAAATTTTCTTTCCTTATGATTTCTCCTAAGATTTTGACTCAGGCTGGTCAACTGGATCACTTGTGTTTCTTTTTAACCAGCAATTAAATTCTGCATAATACTAGCACGTGGTCTTCAAACCTACACGAAGACACAAGGTAATCATGGGACTGAATAAACAAAACAACTGTCAATCAATACCTTTCTTTGTAACTGTCAGCCTTTTATATGCAGTTTTTGTTCTGACATGAAGTTTCTGCACAGCACCTATTGTGATGCTTACCTGGCTACATGATTAATTACAGGAGCAAAGTTTGTTGGTCCATAAAGCTGTACACATTTTAGACTCCTGTAATATGCCTCCATTACACCATCAATTCCATGGCAGTATGGGTTTTGAGGGTTTCCATTCTAATGAAAACAAGATATGATTAATCACTATAAGTAATTACGAAGTAAAAATTATGTAGGGTAATGAACACTATCCAGTGTACATTTTTAAAAGGCAAAGACCTAAGCATTCTAAGATCTATTCAGAGAGTTTGCTACAAATGCCCAGTGTAAGTGCCATGTCTGCTTGTGAGTGTTAACTGCTGAGGTAAGGAGGTTCTACCAGCCTCAGACTCTGAATCATTGGGACTGGCTCCTAGACATAAATATCACCTTTAGTGTAATTAAACACTCCTTTGTACATACAACAGTAACAGCCATTTCCCTGCAAGGATTTAAGGTATGCCTTGCAGGTCAGATGTAAAACTGGAAGCATGTTTAGGAGCACAGTTCAGGCTCAATGATTTATTCTTTAAAAATGTGAAAAAAAAAGGAAATGGTAGTCAGATCCTGAGGTTCATACACTTATATGAGTGTAAGGTAAACAATAAACTTTTCATTGTTTTTGCTTGATATTTCTGCATTGAAAAAATTATTTTTGACCTGGTATAAACAAAAGAAAGGAATTTGCTCTTTGGGAGCCCACGAAATGGCTGGTACTGTAAATTCTTAGGGTAAGTATTTTATTACTTATCTCCATAATGACTCTTCAATGAGGATACGTATTTACAGATGGCAATACAAACATAAAAGCTGAATTCCAGACCAATGTCAGGCCAGGCAAATGATCAATGTAAGGCTTCAAAACCTTTCAAGTCATATGCCAACACCTCATTAGCTTGGTGTGCCAGTACCTCGTTCTGAGGTAAAGTATACTTGTCTGAGAATCTAGAAAACTAAAGGGGATTTTTGACAGAATTTGTCTAAAACATTAAAAGAGAGCACTGACAACACTGCTTAGCATTATATGGGAGACACCTATACATGTTTATACAAGGAAGAAGGAAATATATACACACACACACATGTATGTATGTATGCAGTGCTTTTTCTTCTGTAAAAGTATCACAATGGCTCATAAATTAACTGAATTAATTTTAGAAACATCCTTAAAACTGAAAGATGTATCAATATATTTGAACTTGGTACACAAAATCCAAAGTCTGCAATTTAAATGAGTATTAGTAATTTAAAACAGGTGCCATTGCAATCTACATGGAAAACCTTTCCCTCAGGTAAGATATGTTGTGCTCTTTTCTAGCACAGGCTGACAGAAGAAATACACATCTACTGTCACCAGTCCTCTGCCATGTCTTTGAAGCTACCTCATTAGAACTCCCCTGATATAACTACATTTGATGTACTTCTGACAACTTTATCCCACTCTGAGAAGAACAAAAACCTCAAAATAACCAAGTAGATAAAATATCAACACTAATTGCAAGCATCAGTTATACCAGATCAACCTTTCTGGCAAATCCTGATAGAGTTGAGGTTTGCAATTTAACTGACCCGTGGACCAATCTCAGACTTGTTCTTATTAACTCATCTTTTAATCCGCTTAGATATCTCTATGTCTCTGAACCAGCAGCTTAAAAATATAGAGATCCCAGAAAATGAGATAGAAAAACAAGAATAATGAAATATTATATTGGAACAGGATTTGTTTCCTTCTTTAGAGAGACCAGGTTCAGTCTGAAGTCTTTAAAGCACCTACTTCTCAAGCTACAGCTGAGGTTAAAGATTACTACTTTTCTTTATTACAATTTTTGGCCTACAGAGACTTTTTGAGTCCAGATTTCTCTCCATAACTTCAAGTGAAGTAACTTCACTATGATGAAAAGTTTTGAAACAGCTATTTAGAGTTAGCACAGACTTAGTATATTCTCTATTCTTAACTTGCCCAGTAACTGCTTAAGACTACAACCTTAAGTCCCAAAATTCTGTGGTAGTAAAGAAATTTTAAATATATGTATTTATTTACTTACCAGTGCAAATTCATGTGATACTCTTCCATCTGGAGGCAGTCTAGCTCCAAAACCTAGAGCTGGGAACATTTTATCACTATCATAGTCCTGAATTATTTCACCAACAGCTCTCAATGCCATGCCATAAGCATTCAGCTGATAGGGATTCATGTAGTGCAGTGAAGTTGGCTGTGAAGGGTTACCTGTCGAAGCAAGGATCAGATTTACTTTAAAACTGAATCACTTCAGAATTTTCTCTCTTAAAAATAAGTTGTATCAGGTAAAATGCAGTGTTTTGAATAAATTTTAAAAGTGGTAGTTTTCTAGTAGTTCTAAATACATTTTAGCAGAAGTAGCTGGATTTCAGCTTCGAAAAGACAGCAAGAAACTTGTAGATTTGTGCAATTTATACACTTTTAAGATGAAATTGACAAACGTATTATGACATTCTGAAAGCAGCTTTGGAGGAGGATCACAATTTATCTCTACTTCATCCCACTTCAGACTCACTCTACCTGGAAGTATTTGGCCCTTCTCAGTGGGCTCTTCAAAGTTTTCTCCCAGCAGTTATAAAAAACGAAACAATAATAACAATGATAAATCAAAAACCACACAGATATTTGCAAACTGTTTGTGGTTATGAAATTTTATATGTAGCTTTCCCAACTTTTATCTATTCTGTTTGCCCTGCTTTTCTCGACAGGAATTGGCCTCTCATCTGTTGCTCAGCAAAATGGAATCCTGAGTCCAGGGGGTGCCAGCTGTACACTGTTACAAACACACATATGAACACTTAGAACTGAACACAGCACAAACACACACAAGAGGTTTATTTTTATTCTTACCATTGGAGGCTGTGAAATCAATAGCAACTGTGAAATTGATTTGGGTTCTGCAGAAAGAGCAAACACAAATCTTATTAATAGCTGTACTGCTATGTAGAAAAATAAACAGATGGTAACAAGTTGTGGACAAACTGTATGACACTGACTTTCTAATAGAGGAAATGAACACTGAAATACTCATATAAGGTTCAAGCCAAGGGCTACACAACACTAACTTATTAACACGCTGAAAACAGTTACTTTACTCCATCATTCTTTTTTTCATTGTTTATTAAAAATACTAAATAAAAAAATCATTAATAAGAACTTAACTTCCATAAATATTATTAACTCCTTTTAACAGTAATACTGATTTTTTTCCTTGGGCATATTTTAACCCTGGTCATGCTAGATGTCCTCTCCCAGCTGAGGTGGAATACCCAAACAGAGCCATGTGCCTCCTGGATTCAGTGCTGCATAGATCACTACTACTTTGCCAGAATTTAGCTGGTATAGAAATACATGGTCTACTTGAAAGTGGACAGGTGATTTATTCTGTATTCCTACATACCACAAAAAATGAAGAAAGTATCTTAAAAGGAACAGCAATCCTCACCTCACAGCCACAGAGAAAGAAAAGTGAAACTTGTCATCTTTTAATGAGTTCCATCAGTACTGATAAACATGTGGAAACAAATTAAGCCTGAATGTGGTTTTTGACTAGGCTTGATTAGGTTTTTTAAATAGTACATTGGAAGGAGTCATGGATTTCCCCCTGTGGCTTCAGAATGACAACCAGCTGGGCTGCCAGCAAGGGGGAGCAGTTGAAGCTTTGAGGACCACTTCCTGCACAGAACTCTGCAACAGAGCTGTCACAGTAACTGATTCTACCAAGAGGCTGCATCCTCTCCACGGCACTTATAATTTCCCCTTTGCAGATGCTTATTGAGCCAAATGCTGTAACAGCATACAGAAGATTTTTCAGATAAAGTCTCTTCAAAATCTTCCTCTTACATAGTTTTATTACCCCTTGATAGTCTCCAATCATACAAGACACACATGGCAAAGCTTCCAAAATACCTAGCTGTGGCAGCCCTTGCTTTGTAAATTTCTCATTCCAGGTCTCCTGTGAACAGCAAATATGCCTCCATTACAGTGGATAGTGTACTGCCTGGTTAGAACAGCTGTCATGAAAGGAGATCTGAATATCTCTTTTGACCATCAATGATTCAATATAGTACAGTTAAAAATATGTGTCCAAATCCTTTTGAATCCAAAAAATGTGTGGGTGTTCATTTCTAAAGACCTGGATGAAGTTGAGGCTTTTAACACGATAGAAGAAAACATTTCCTCTTATTTTCCACTTATCTGGGACTGAAGATATGACAAGATATTTCAGTTGCAAAAGGAATCAGCTCCTGAATATTACTGATTTACAAATAACTAGCTCACCATCTTTTCCAATAAGTCAACCAGGCAAAAAAAAAAAGGAAAAGAAAAAAAAAAAAGACTAAATACTAAACTAGGTTTGACATATCTGTAAATACAATTGCTTTCCTTTCCAAGAATGTATCCCTTACATTGCTTAACTTATTCATATATTTGAAGGTGTTTTGATAGGAATGTTACCAACTGGGGCTGTATTAAGCAGCAGGAGAAATGTGATTTTGAAATACAGATTATTTTTAGCACAACATACTTACTTTAAATGTGGGAAGGCTGGTGTGGCAAAATACATTATTAAGTATCAAGATGCAAGGAAAAGCCAGCTATTAAGATGACACTATTTGATGTAATTTTCAGAAACAAAAGAGACACCATCCTCTTTTCTGCCATATTGCTGTAAAATCCAGTCTTATGAAGTAAAACAAAATCTCAGTTTATGTATAAAACTCTATTTCATTTTCCTAAGTCCTTTAAGAAAACAACTTAATAGATGATACTGGTAATGGAATATCCCAATTAAACAGGAGCAGACTCAAAACATAAATGAAATCAATACTGTAATCATAATTTGTTAAAGCTGTCAACATTTCCAGGACATCTGCATTAATTCTAAACACTTCAAATGAATTAAAATGGAAGTTTTGAACATAAAGTATTTTATAAGCACCCATTTATGGAAGAGCAAATATGCAGTTGAGCCTATTGCAGAATCAGTGCTTTCTACCTCTTGCCTATCTAAATGGAAGAAAAACAGAGAACTAAAAAAAAAAATTTGGAGGACATGATGGGAAAACAGACTGATTAATGACAAAATCTTCTCTATCCCCTTCCATCAAATATTTGTCAACTGGACTTTAACTGATATGTAGTAATATTAAATGAGACAAACAAAGGAAGGGAGAAGCCTAGAAAATAACTCTGAGTAAGCCTCCTTGTCATGTTTACATAACTGCCTATGCTACAGAAAGAAAGGTAAGATTTTATACAAGTACTTCTACAGTTTTCACTGGCATGTACACAGAAATAATTGTATGAATCACTAAAAAAGATTCTATATAAAATAATTAAGTATTACTGCTCATACTTTTAAACATGGAGCATTCTACTGTATTTTATCGCTTTTTTGTAAAAAGCAGAAAAAAGTTTAAGTGGAACTTATTAGTATCACAAGTCTTCTTTGACTTGCAGTTAATGAGATATACACAAAATATCAATAAGAACGACACAATATTATTGTATTCAAAATTTATGCGACTTTTTCTGAAGAATGTAGATAATTAGGTTCATTAACTTGTACCATAACATCTCAATGAGGAATGTGAAACACTACCTTGAAAAGATTATATAAGCAGCCCCTATGTAATTTTCTTTTCCAATTTAAACATAAACTTCAATTCCTCAGTTTCTTATACCTGCTCTTTCTGTAGAGATGAATTCTGAATGAATGGGGAATAGGACAGTCACGGCATATTTGTACAACACACTTGAAAGGAAACAGCTGCACTAGAGGCAAGACTGTTTCTTCATGCATTTGTGCATACACAGATTTCAATCAATAGAAATTTCTGGTAAACATGGACGGATGGCCATTTTCAACTTCTGTCAAAGTCCACAACAGGAATGTAAGACTGCCACTGTTGGGACCAAAGGCAAAGCCCCATATAGCTACTGTCAAAACACAGCACAGACTTCTTTTTAATTTACACTGAACTCTGGCTGAAGACTTCAAAAAAAATCCCCAAAAAACTGAACTTGTTTCTTCAGGTAATCAATGCTCTAAAAACCATGTGGAACGTATACTCAGACTTTATTTTCCAAAAATCCAAAAGTGCGTGCCTAGGAATGCATAATAAATTTCAATTTATTTTAGACAAGTATAGTGTTCTGGCAGGGATGTTAAGAGCCAGAAATTTTTCAGATTTGGTCCCATTTCCAAGCATGTAAGACATTTGACACTTCGGTCTCTACTTCTCTTTAGAAGAAATGATGATAAATGAAAAACTGAATGTGTTAAAAATTTTAATTAGTATTGAAAAAATGCCTTTGATGGGGAAAAGTCTCAATAAACGCCAATATTAAATCCACCAAAGCTCAGTATAATCGGAAGAAATAGACAGCATTTTAATAATTTAATAATATATAGATAATTCCCTTTTGTTTAATCAAATATTCTTTGCTGAGCAGAGGTCACTCTTTCTCAGTGTTTTAGTATCAACTCCAATTCTAACACTATAAACAAAGTTCCATAACTTAACTTAGTAACTATGTGCATGCTTCATGTAGGAAAGTATAGCCCCTAAAATGAAGAAATAATACAGCTCCTTACAGATGCCACTGAGAGCCATAAACAAATTGTGAAAACAAGAAAGGTTTGTTGCTAATCACATACCCGCCTTTAATATAGTCAAGGAATGAAACTTCTGTTTCAATTAGGAAGGAAAGCAATGTTACCTGAAAGCAAATAAAAGAGAGTCAGACAAGAATTGTGTGTTTCCCAGTTGAACAAGTAGAGACATAAGCACAATGTTTTTCGAGCTCTGTCCTTAGGATGTAATTTCCTACAGTATTAAGGGAAAAAAGAAGATTAAAAAAGATATTAAATAATTTCGGTAGGCAGCTCTTGAAAGGGAAGAGACAGATTGAGAAGTATATAATTGCCTTCTTTTCTTTTTTTATTTAAGGAGAAGATAAAGGGCAAAAGATTGTATTCCAGAGCAGATTACCACATACATATTTTCTGATTTCTGTGTACTACACCTACAATTGAATATTACAGGGTATATGATAATGTATTCTATGAGCACTTCAACAAAATGAAGTTTTGTTGTTTAAAGAACTCAATTACAATTATTTATGTCATTAGTCATCTCACTTTAAAAGCAATATCGAGTATTGATGCAAGCCTAGAATGCAAAAATCTAATAAAATATATAGGAAATATATAAATTTTTTTAAAGTAGTATGTGTATATATAAGTACGTATGTATGCATATATATATACGTATTCACATTTATATATTTTTATACATATATAAATGCAAAGGTAAGAAATTTCAGCAGTTTCCGATTTTATCATTCAGAAATGACAGAGATACAAAACACAGAGTAATCTAAAAGTGTTACTGGCATTTTCAGCAAGCAAGTCACAGAAGAATAAACTCAAGTGGAAAAGATTCAGCATTTAAGATCTTCATATACTGTACAATATTTATGAAGCAAAGAATTAAAGTTATTTTAATTTCGTTACATAAATTCTCTCATTATATAATTGCAGCAGGCAGTCAGTGAAAACTGCTTAAGTAACTACTCAGAGCAAATCCACTAATCAAGATACAAGGAACAAAAAGGGAAAGGAAGTCTATCACAAAATTTTGTGTCCACTTGCAGCAAATATAAAAATTGAAAATACTCCTATGCTGTAAACTTAAGACTCAGAATGAGATTACAGGTAGTAATTCTGTTTTTTATCCAACTTCCTTTGTCACAGTTCTGTGTGACTGAGTGATTAGCTAAGCTTAAAATCACCAAGTTACCCTTCTAGCTGAGAACAAAAAACCCTAACCATGTTCTACCAGGCATAGTCTTGCAAAGAAGACCAAAATTTCGATGCATTTTCCCACTGGACACAGTAATATTAATGGTTGATCTGTTCATACAGCTGGTTATCTTGTCCCTAATTAATCTAAGCAAATATTTTCACTGCATCTGATTTTAAAAGTCAAAAAATGGAAGCAACTCCCAAAGTGGCTGAAGTATTTACTTACATGTAGGCAACAACTACCAATGCTTCAAATTTTTTATTTCACTACTAGGCTTTGTTTAAAACCAATCACGTATTCTGAAACACTTGCACCTAGTATGTAATTTGACTGCCTGAATTTAAAATGACACCCTAAGTAATAATAAATTGAGATGTGCACTGTATGTACATAGTCCTTAAATGCAATAGTGAGATAGCAGTCAATGATTTATATCCACTGTAAATTCTCCAGAACTCTACCTCCTATTAATGAAAATTATGGTCTTGGTGCCTGGCTTGCAAATTTAAAAATTTGCGCGATAAAGAATATCTTGGGTAAATGATGAGGACAAGAAAAACAAAACTGCAGGCAAACACATAAGAAAGTGACCATGTGGAGAAGCAGAAGGGAAGCCTGAAGGACTACTAACAGTAAAGGCAACTGGGGACAGAGATGACTTGATATCAAAAAGAATTTACAGAACCAACAGAAGAGAAGGAAAAAGAAAAGGTAAAGAAGGAAAAAGGAAACAATATTACTAACAACTGTTTATTAGTAATTTTCCTGTAATTGGAAGTAAAGAACAACAAGACACAGCTGATTTTGCCTGTTCAAACACGAGTAAAATATATTTTTTCAAATGCAGATAGACGCTTCACTACTTATGAAGATGTCAAAGTATTTTAAACCAAAATCAACATGAAAATAGAATGTGAAACTATATTTTTATGCCTTTCCGTGCCTAAGGCAGATTTCATACCTAAAATTTTGGTATGAAATTTTGGTACACTTTTAGCACTGGTTGAAAACAACCACTTTACATAAGTTTCTCACTAATTTAATGCAATAGAACTTGATTTTAACATAAGATTTTAGTAAAAGGAATATGTTAGCATAGAATAAATTACCTAATGAATTATATATCGTATGGTAAATTTTAATAGGCAAGTTGCTTCTGCCAGTTTTTCATGATTTAAAGCAAAGGTAGAAAAATAAGAGTTTATTTTCTCACTGATAAACAGACTTAGACAAGAATGTGACAATGTCAAAACATTCCTTCAAGGCTACTTTTCAGCATGAAAGTAGCCCTAATGACTTCGGTGGAACTGTTCATGTGGAAAAAACCCACATGGTGGATGTGTTTACAAAAAACATCTCTTATAACTGATTACGTTTTCCAATATACCAATCCTCAACATTTATCTTCACTTTTTTGTAATTGATGTTCTGAACATCATGGGCACCAGGATATCAAAGCTGAGCAAGTGCTGAAGGGAAACAATTGCATTGCTAGCAAATGGCTCATAAACATGAGAACAGAAGATGAAATGCAAACCAAAAAAGAGAAATTCTCATCCAAAAACAACACTAATGGATCTTTCAAAATAAATTTACAAAAAGCCTGTTGGTAATAAAAATGCTGACTCTTTTCTATTCAGCCATAATAAACACACTGGCTTTTAATGATGCTAGCCCAGTAGATAAATTTAAAAAGAAAATAAGAAAATTTATTTGTAGAAGTGCAGGAAAGTTTCAGATAAAATTTTTAAAATGTTCAGTCCAATGGTTTCAATTACTTGACTGAAATTTGGGTAGAGCTTATTTTGAAAACCACTGGCAACTTAAAGCACACTTAGACAAATTTTATATCAAACTCTTCATATTAAAAAAAAATCTGAAAATAAACGCTGTGTAAAAGTAAATCGTTTATTGCAGCCTTGACAGAAAGTTGTATTTTAATCCTGTAAAATTACAAGTCAACTACACTCTGTCTGGAGCAAGAAGAAAAACATCCAGTAACATAAAATATATTTACTTACTGTTCCAGAATTAACATACTTTTTCTTTTTTCCTTTTTTCTTTGGATTTATTACCTAGAAACACAGATACAAACATTAAAGTAGTATGATCCAATATAAAGTGTAATGTATTTTCAATGCAGAAAGTATTCTGTTTTCAGCACATTCTAAGTGTATTCAGCATCCTGTTTACTGATGCATCTTGATGCAGGGATCTATGCATGTTGAAAACCAGTGAATTTATCTTCATGGTACTTGCCAGGTGAGCCAGTGCTGGTACTCATATTTGACAAATAAGAGATGGGGCAACAGAGGTAACAATGTTTATTATATTTGAGAGCTCAGTGAAGCACACTCCGAATTTTCACAAGATTCTTAATTTCTGTATTATATATATTCTGTATTTCTGTGGCAGTATTTCAGGGTATATTGTCACAATTTTGTCACCTCACAATGCATCTCTTCACAATCCAGTTAATCTGTTTCCATCTGCTCCTCATAACACTTGAAAAACATGAGAGTTTTCTACTCCCAATTTCTATACTTGGTGCAATGACAAGATGTGGCTGACGGGGAGATCAAATTTCATGAAATAGGTAATTTCATGAAAATGTTGAAGATCACCCCCTGATGCGCATACAGGAGTTGGGGGGAAGGGGGGGTCACTCCCCATATCCAAGTATCTTCACGGAGCTGGACTACAAAGCATTAAACAGTTTTCTTGAATGTCTGGAACCCACACCCATACAATTTCTCACTGTAGTCACCAATAATTTTTTTCCCCTTTTGAATACCTACAAAAGTCAAGTCTCAGTGAATTTTGTTACATACACACGAAAATGTACTCCTGCTTTTCCAGAAATGCCCATGGAATTGGAAGGAGAACATTATTTTGTTAATTAGGTCATTCAACTATCTCCTATATATTTCGGAAATTCAATGCCTTATGGCTTACTGCCGAGTTTTACTGTAAATTACTCAGAGATGTTCTGCAAATGATAAGGAATGAAAATATTCCCAATTGCAATCTTAGTAACTTATCTGGTATAAAATATTAAAAGAATTTTGCCTGAAATTGGCAAACTAGTAATACTTGTCTTCCAAAGATTTTCACCCCCAACCAAAATGAAATGACATTTAAAGATTCTATTCCTGGCACAACACAGAACAGCTGTGAAATGTAAGGCAGGAAGATACAACTATGATTTAGGGTCTTCCCAAACAGGCTAAACAAGTGACTCACTCTTTTCCCCAGTATTCCACTCTGATGTTATACAGTAAATATTCTGCAAAGCTTTTACTCCTTTTACACACATGTAAGCCTGTTAACACAAAATCCCAAGTAAAGCCTGTGTAATGGAGGTAATTAAACAATGCAGTAATTCTTGTTGAATCAAAATCTTAGCCAGAAAGTGACTCCTGCTGACATCTGCCCAGAATAGGAAGATGCAGGTAACAGGCTGCCTGTCTGCCCTGTGGCAGTTCATTCGCTGCTCTCCAGAATTCAATGGTCAGGCCTGAATTAGCAGCATATTGCTTGCCAGCAGTCATTAAATGCCAAAAAGAAGATTCATTTTAACTTTCTGCTTCAGGTAACTTGACAACTGGCTTCTTAAGAATTGCAAGGAACTGCACTAGAGCTTGGAGTGAAGTATCATGCGAAACAAGGCATCTACTTGGGGCAAAGATGAATTACATGACAGCTTTTTTTCTCTCCTGTAATTCACAGTACTATAATTATTATGATATTTACATGGGTTTTTTTCAAATTCCAGATAACTTTAGAAATTAACATTTTTTAGCCTCTGAAAGTTTTACATCCCTGCAGGAATCTAGACAGCCACATGAATTATAATGAACCTATTAAAAAAAATCTCAATTGCAAAGAGGTGATTCTAGCAAGGTTCCTAATCTTTAAATATGGACACTCACTCAAACTCCTCTACCTGCCTTGAGTTAGTTTGTAAAAGCAAAACGTTTAAAAATTTTGCCCAGTAAAATCTTTTGTTCTGACACTGTACAGACTAATCAAGTAGAAGCAGTAGTACCCAAGTATGAAGGATTGCAGTGTAGGGAGGCAAACATGAGTTGCTCAGGAAATGTACGCTGTTGCTGGGAGTATGATACTGACACTGTATTTAAGAAACTGAAAAATTACTTAAGATGTTATGACAGCATATTCCTGGTAGGGTAGGATTTACATCAGTGATACCACAGGAAAGGACATTTTCACTGCACACACTAATCTGTGTTATGACACTATTCACAGGAAACTACTGTAACTTACTGTAACTCTGGGGTTGATCTTAGATCTAAATGAGAAAAAAAATCACGGCTTTTAAGTTATCTTTGTCCTGCTTTGCACAGCAGCATCTTTGCTCATCTTCAAAATAAAAGTGCAGTGCATAATTGGAGCACCTTCCTTCCCTGCCTTTTTAGTGCTTACCTAAACCATTATATTTGTTACCATCTATATCAGGACTACGAAAACACTGGAGTTTAATGGCAGTAGTCTGAGACCAATTAAAGGATACCTTAAGGAATAATAAAGATCTGCAGATGCAGAAGCAAAAAAAAAAAAAAAAAAAAGGTTATAGCCATACAGGCTTGTCTTCTCATTAGAGGCAATAATTACTTTCCATTGTTTTCAGTGTTTTCCATTGTTGTTTTCTCATTTATTTCCTGAGAGTGAGTAAATACTCATAATACTTACCTCATAAACATTGAACTGAGACTGCCCTCTCGACAACTCTCTGTAACTTGTTGTGAATTCTCCAATGAAATCGTGGCTGTTGGAAAAATAAGATTTTAAATCAAATGCACAACATTTAGGAATTTAAACACGTATTTTATTTATTAATGCAAAAGGAACACACAGCCACTATGAACTGACATCCAATAAACAAGTAATGGCAACAGATATAATTTGTTTAAAAATCTTTATTACTCCCTCTATTTTGTGTTCATCCTATTAGTAATGCAAATTTAGAGTTGTAAGGCATTGGCTTAAATCCTTTTGATGGCTTTTGCTTAACTTAGCTGCACAATGAGGACTGTGTTGAAAATCAGTGATTGACTCCAATATAAGTCTACAGAATCTGAAAAGACAGAGTGGGCTACCACAGACTGTCACCATCTCCTCAGTGGATGAGCACTGGCACTCAGACTGAACTGTGTTTGAGGTTATGTGAGAGAAAGGGAGTAACTGAAAGCATGAAAGGAGTAACTGAAACTAGAAAAGAGCAGCCCTCCCCCTATATAACATGACATTGAACTTTTAAGGGGAAAACCCAAAGCTTATTTCGGCTCCTCTGTGTTCCCATCTGGGAAGAGAGCAGCAATCCACTGAGGCTGCTCAGCTTATGATATTACTGGAAAGCAGATCTTAACCTAACAGAAAAGCAGTGGTTGTCAAGCTTCTCCTTTCTAAATTCTATTCCTGCTCCAAGAATACATTTGGCACTCCTGTGCTGTCATTCACGTTTTAAAAACTGCTTTGTCAACGCATAACAGGGCTGGCACATTGCCCAGGAGCCACTGTGAGCACAGTGGCCAGAGGGAGCTGTAGTGGGGGAAGCACTGCTGAGGAAGGGATCAGGGAACTGGGGCACAGACACCACAGGGCTGCCAGATGTGAGCAAGCTGCAGGTTTGTATCTCAGACAGGTACCTGGAATGGAAGGACTGCAGGGGTCAGTGCCCCAACCATCAGCTACACAACTCCCAGCAGTCACAAGGTCTGCTCCCAGTCTCTGCTCTGCCCAGGTGAACTTTGCTGCTCCACATTTTCCCAGCTGTGCCTTAACAGGGCATTGTATTTCCTCTACACTCTGCCTCCATAGCTGGTGAGCTATGAAGCTAACTGTTTTACCTTCCCTCCAATGGTAAATTACAACAGAAATTCAAAGTTTTATGACTTCGTGACTTGCAAAACTTGTTTTTAAGAAATTCAGCACAGTTCTAATTGAGCTATATTAAAAGAAAATTAAAATAAATCTGAATGTTGCAAGACGAAAAATAGAAACAATCCATAGCAACATGAAATTTCTTTCTTGCTTTATTAATAATGAAATTAAACAAAAAAAACCCTCAAATATAAATTTAATTTCCTGAAATCAGCATGAATTCACAAAATATATAAATCAAACAACTAAAAGGTTCAGTCATCATGCTAACACAAAATAAGCAAAGCACACTGCAAGCTTGAGAAATACTGTATGTTGAAGATATTCCTCATTATCCAGATTCAGAAGGGACCACTTCACATGAAACACTCCCCTTTCAGCTGGAAGATCATCAAATTGCTTCCAAAACAAAGACTTTTCATAAGAAATGTATTTTGGAGGTATATCTCTGCTTAAATGCTCTCCAGACTGCAAGGACTATTTAAGCAGGGAACAGAGGAAGCCATCCACAAGGCGTACTCAATCTTAGGTAACGATGGCACAGGAGAAAAATATATATTGCTCAAAATGGAACTTTTCCCTTTTTTAACAGTTCTAACCTTCTATTTTCAAATCAGGTTTTACATTTTGAAGGCAGAAATTAAAACAATAGCTCAATGACTACCTACAAACACACCGCAGAACAGGAAACATGAGCCATTCCAGACAGGACTGTCCCTGGGGAGCAAAAGAATCTGTACGGCTTCAAAGTAATTGCTCCTTTAATTCTAAGACATGGAAACCCTCCTTTCCCTATGGCTACATACAAACACTGACAAGACCTGAGCTAGAAAGATATGATTCCTCTGATGAATCATGTTAAAAAGGTATGGGCATGCATAACTAGTCTCAGAGCCCTCTGCACTTAAAAGAGCATCAGCTTGGATTTTTACACTCAGTACTCAGGTGGATGTACATGCCACCACTAGACTGGCTCTGAGGGCTGAGCACCTGCTGGACAAAACATGCCTTTGCCAGATGTATAAGTTATTAAGAAAATATTCCAGTATTAATCATCACACTTCAGCAAATTGATCTACTTACTTCTTCTGGATTGAGAATCCAAAGTACCTTTTCTCTTTGCCTGCCTAACACTAAATTTTCCTAGACCTACAGATTTTCATCCATGAGTGGCATATCAGAACACTGAACCAGAGAGTCTTACTACACAAAATTATCACTTAAAGCCCATCTCCCTAAGTTTTCCACTTTTAGCCTTATGTTTTGAAGTGCTGAGGATCACTTTCAAGACTGTATTAACTTTGTAATTTTTTATTATCTAAAGGAAAAAACCAATATAGGAAAGGACAATCATGATGAGAAACACGTCAATGAGTAATGAGAAAATGCAAGAATTTAAAAATCAACTGTCTAGCTGGAGAAGGAAGATGGAGACAAAAAATAAGAAATTAGAATCTGAAATTTAAAATCTCTCCTGCAGTATGGATATTCTCAGATGAATGCTTCTGTGGCCCCAGGTTAGCATGACAGCATTTACCGCTTTATAACTCAACACCCCCCAGTTTTCCTATGTAACAGATCATAAACATCAAGACTGAAATGACTTTTGCAACATGTATGCTAAGTGATTTTTTTTCTGAAATTAAATAAAAAAATCTTTCAGAGAGAACTAAAAACATTATAGTATTGCTGATGTGAAGTTGTGCAGTATATTTTTTTCCCCTTCTGTTAGACCTGTTTGCAAGTGCTTCACATATAAGGACACCCAATAAAAAAAACCTAAAAACGTGACTCTGTCAAACAACTGGGCTTGTCCCAAGTAACAAAACCAACTTTTGTGACTTCTTATAGCATCAAATATTTTTGGGTTTGTCACAGCTTTTAGAAACAATAAAATGTATAAGAACAAGTTGCTCACATCTTGACAATTTTTGTGCAAAAGCTGGTTTGGCACAAAGAGATGTTCAATAATTAACAGCGTTAATATTACCAAGGGCACGTATTACTTTTTGTCAAGACATTTTATGTGATGTTTGAAAATAAATAAGCGCTATTTAGTTATTTAATGATAACATAATCATGATATTACATTACAATTACTCTAACAACGTAATTTAGGAATATGAAGGAAGAAGCTCAACCCAACGCACCTTGGTGCTATTTTTCAAAGCACAGGTAACATAGAATGGGGAAAAGGGAAAAAAATACTTCTTAGTCAAGATTCAAGGAGTCAAAATCAAGTCAAGTCATGACTCAGAAATCAAGTATATGCACCATTATTTTGTCTTCCTGATTGCAGAGCAGCCTATAATATTCAGAATAACTTGCTTTGTTATCTAGAGAGCAGGCAATCTTCCAAAGACTGCCCAGTCTGCACATCTCCGGAGCAAACAGATTCAGCTTGGTGAAGTGTCCAGCTGGTGTAACAACAGCTTATAAAAACTGTGCATCATAAACGGAAATTAATATAAAGTGAGGAACAGAAGATTTGTACAAAAAATTGTTAGAGTAACTCTTGAATGGGATTAATTTCAGATATACTTGGCAATGTCAAAGTTAAATTAGACACGTAGGTTTTGCTAAGATCACTATGTAAGTTTATAGGCACCACCAACTGGCAATTTATTCCACGTAGGATGGATTCAATCAGACCATTTTCCCCTGTAAACCACTGAAGTAGCTTAAATGATTAGTTCAATCTACTTGTCTGATTTTTGCCTTGTCTAAAGTCATGTGAGATGAGTGCTGTCTCATCTTTCAGAGGAATTTTACATATAAGATGTCAGTGCTGCTGTGCTTCTAAATGCAAAATAGACATAAAGCAAAAAGTAAAAAAAAAATCATACCATTAGAATAAAAAGGAAAACATGTAAATGGTATCCTTCACTTTTTGCTTTTTGCATATTACTTTTATAGGTATTCAGATTGTGATGTGAGCAAACACAGATAATATTTGAAACTATCTGAGACTGGAGAGGCTAATGATTGCCTAAAATCCACAGTATGTTCAAGATTTCACTCAGACTACAGTTACTTAGTGTTATTTGTCAGATTTCTTCCTTGTCTTTTTAATCTTACAGATTTTGGATAAAGTGAGACAGCACATAGGGTTTGATACCTTGATAAAATATAATCTTTATTTTTTATTAACTTAGCAATGCAATTTAACTTTTCATTGCTGGCATATTTTCAAAAAACGTGGTTTATACAGATACATAATAATTTTAAGTACTGTCAAGTCTCATTGAGAAAAGAATGTTAATAGAAATTCTAACAGGGGTGCAATGATTTTTTACTAGTATGGCTTTTTAAATTTAAAAACACTCATCTTAATTGCTAGAATGTGTTATTTTGTCTGTCCAGGGGATATCTGATCAAGAAGGATAAATTTACACTGGCAGGTATTCACAGAGGGTAAACAAGAGATAAGAATGCTTATAAATCAACAAGCTTCATGATGAAAACCAAAAAGACAAAATTATAACCCGAGAAAGCTGAATAGGCTTCTGGATCTTGTCAGCAAGGAAATGAACAGTAGCACAGGATAAATTTGCCCATTATGATTACAAGATATGTTGCCACAGAAGCACAATATCATTAACAGAAGCACAATATCAATATCTGTAATACTAGAAGCAAATTGCATTGGTAGTATTAAAGACATTAACTGCAGAATAAATAATATGCTTTTAAAAATCAAAATGCAAGTGCATACCCATATATTTAAAAATATAAATTAGGATTAACAGGAAACAATTAAGATGGACCAACTTAAATGGAAATAAACATATTACTGTATTACGTTTCAGTTCTAGTACCAAGATTTATGAATACAGTTTCTAATTAAAGTATTAAGATATAAGCTCAAACATTTAAAAAAAAACCAAGAGGTATCAATCCACTGTGTTAAAAAATAATTCTACCTGCTTTGTCAAAATAAAGGCAATTTGAAAGGCTCATTTCATCAGAGAAAAATGTACAGCCAGAAAATTGGGGTTCACAGCTCCTAAGAATAACAGATATTCCTCCTGAATTTAGCAACAGAAATTCCACACATATTCCACTGTCCTCTTTCAAGGGGAGGTACACGAAACTCAGGTCTTCCAACTCCAGTTTGCAACAATGTTTTGATGAAGAAAGACATGGAAATGAACATTCAGACCCAATCTGAAATTAAGGTAATTAATAGGTGGTTTCTACATTGCCATATTTAGGCCACCGTGAGTAGCCATTGCAGGCATGTGCATTTTATCACGTTCCATGGATGAATATACACACAGCAGGTTTGAAATGGCCTAATGCCTCAGTATTTACCACAATTACAAAACACAAGGCTGTATCACAGCAGAATTTTTCCAGTACCTCTAAATATTGACAAATAACTAACTTTCTGTAATATTATGCTGGATACGAACTATTAATATGCTTTAAAATGTATATAAACATGCAGGAATAACCCATAAGTTTAAGAGAAATAATGTCTTACCTTCCATCTCTATCCCAGTCATATACTTCTACTTTGATTGTCCTAAAATAAAATGACAAAACAACAACACAACCCCATTAAAATGTTAAATATGTACCCAGATTGCCTCTAAGGTTAATAGCATAGGGTGCGTTAATTTTTTGTGCCAAATCCAAAAAGCAGAATTTTTCAGTCATTTCTCATGAGACTGCAAATAATCTGTCAGGTAATACAACAGATCTTCATAAATCAGAAGCTAAACACAGTGGAAATTAAGGAAACAATTAAACACACTGGAAGTTTAACAAATATATTTTTACTTGCTGATGCTCTGAATTTTCTGTAGTTTTTAAAACAAATGATTCTTTAAACCTTGAAGTATTATCAAAGTTTTTAAGATCTGTTTCCTTGTGAGTAAAGCGAACCCTTGAGGGCAGCCCTAACCTTGCTTCAGGGATGACTGGGAATCAGATAAAAAGGAAAACGCAGACATTTCCTGAATAAAGATCAATCATGTTTCACATACTTACTTCAAGAGTGGATTTATTAAAATGCAAATACTACAGAGCATATTATCATCAACATCCTTGATGAAACAGGAAAGATACATGAGGATAGCAACAATACATAGTTTAATTCATGTCCTTTTACTACAGAAAGTGTAAATATGTCAGCAAATTCAACTCTCGCTAACAGTGAATCCTATTTGGCCTAAAATGACCTGAACATGGGATAGAAAAATAACACCTCCAGACCTCCTGTATTTTAACTTACTTAACTTACTTTTATTCTTCAGAACAGTTTCACATAAAGTCAAGTCATCAGAGCTGTCTTATTAATAAAGGGGATAAGAATGTAAGCAATTACTTTATCATTTGCTTCCATGAAAGCTGCTCCTCATTCTTCCAATTATATACAGTCAAATATATATTGTTTCATTTTCTTTACTAAGAAGGGACTCTTTGGGGATAAAGCTGAGCAAAAGCTGGTATTATATACAATATAGTATCAAGTAATTCATACCTGGATGTTTTTCACATTTTTTATGATATTCCAAGATAGGTAAAGAAGGACTTGCTTTGTCTGAATGTACCTCTTTTCAAACCAAATTTAAAGGTTCCTAACCACATCATTTGTTATATTTTATAGCTCTTGCATAACTCAGGTTGGATTTAAGTTACCTTACAATGAAAACGGATTAAAATGGAAGTTGTTCTGCAGGACAAAGTGAAAAACAACTCCAAACCTCTTTTCTCCCATCAAGCATTTCAGCCTTAAAACTACTTTCTCCTTCAGAGGAATTCAGCAAAAAAAGGCAATATCACAACATTTTTTTTTCCTAGACAACCATCATTTTACTTACGTTTCAAAACCTGTTATGATAGAACACACCACTAAGTTAAGATTTATGTAAGGCTTAGTAGGATTTAAAAGTTTTGAATTGTCTTAGAAATCTGTGTTCAAATAGCAAAATCATCTCAGTGAGAAAACTCGGATTATTAAAATAAATTATTAAGAATATCAAGATAAATTCCTGAGAAGGAACTTCAGACAGGTAACTACAGTAAGAGCAATTCATCCTTGAATAAAGCTCCTCTCCAGTGAAATTTATTTCATATTAAAGGATTAATTACAGATCTTGACTTTTATCTATTTTGTATGATATGCAAGATATTAAAAGACCTTTCCAATCTTCCTATACTGAAACTTAACCTTTACCTTAAAGGACACAGTTTAGAGGATGGGTTGCCTATTTTAATATTAAAGAAACCCCTTTCATTTAAAAATAATCAAGGTTAGAGATGGGTATATCTCCGTTTTAAAACTTTTATGCAGAAAATAACTAAGTGCTTTTTGAGAGCTCATTCTAAGACAAAGAACAAAGACATTAGACACTAAGTACTACTGCTGTACTGAAATGCCATTCCTGTGATGACTGAAAACACTGCATAATCACATAATTTGAGAATAATTAAGCAAATCCTGGTCATTCCATAATGAAAACGTGGACAGAATTCACTCAGAAGCATGCACTAGCTGAAGATTTAGTCTCCCTAACATAGAATAAACATTTACTGTGACATATTTTTACTAATAACATTATTCCCACCTTTCACATCTATCACAGAACTCAGAGCACCAAAATTTTATCTTCTGTCACTAGCTGAAAGAGACCTTTGGGATTTGTGTTTTCATGTATTACCATGTGGATGTTAGGAAGTTAATCCTTACCTTTAGAAAGAAAGGTTTTCTAATTTAAAAACCCCAAACCTCTGAAATCCTTTCTGGACTATCAGCAGGTCAATTTGAATTAACCTGACAGCTAATGACTACTTCTTAATTTGAAACATGATTATTGTATGCAGGGCTATGAAGTTTCATGGAGCCTTTATCACGGAGCACATTATGTTAAAAGCAGGTCAACAGTAGATAAACAATAATAATTTGAGGAGTGCTATTACACTTTTAAGTTCCCTTAATTTGGAATGCTAGAGTTATTTCAGTATGCCTGCATCACATCTTTTCTAATCATCATGAAAACTCTTTTTCTTTAATGTGATAAACAGTGCAGTGTCCAGAGAATAGCTTAATGAATAATATTTTGCTTATGCATTATGCACATTAACCCAAATACAAGTAAAAAATTCTATTTGAATATGCTCATTACAAAATTGCTTCATTTTGATTGCATCTAAGTGAAAGAGTAACCAACATGGCCATTTTTAAAGAGTCTAAAAATACCCATTTCCACTGAACTAATTTGTTTGTTATTAGTGGTAAAATGTTGATTAAAAACATGGTATTATTACCACCTGAAGATAGAACCTTTTACATGGCACCACTGAAAATTTCAAATCTGAAGATTACTACCTTCTTGTTTCTCATCTACTGATCTATGCATTTGAAAGGCTTTCATTTATCAGCATCCTCTGACATTGTATTGCCACCCAAGGAAAACTGATCATCATTGTTTTTAATCAAAACAGTAAAAAGTATTTGTGTCCACTTTTCACAGAGACTATGATTTAAATTAGTCTTTTCTTGTTTCTAATTCACACCACAGAGAGCAAAGAATTTTTTCCAGAAAACACCACTAGCATTTCCTACAGATTTAGCATATTTGCTTTATTTTTCTAAATTCTTTAATTTGATGAACGGTTTTGAACACCTATTATCCTTTCAAAATGTTGATTAAATAACACCAGGGGCTAGACTGCATAGAAAAAGTTACATAAAAAAAGAACACACAGAGATAGGGAGAAAAAAATTGTATATGCTAAAAAAGCTTAAGCTACAGCTTACCGGTCATAGTCTCCATTACACAGTGCTCTGACAGAAATCTTGAATGCCTGCCACACCGGATTTAATGTATTTTTTACAACCTCTGTTTTGTGGCAGATTGTAAAACTGTAATTAAAACAAAAAAAGAAAAGATATATTTTGTATGTATTTACTTTTTCTTTTGTGTCATCAAAGATGGAATTAAAAGAGCTGCAATCATTCATACATATAATGTCCATATAAAATATAAGGTAAGAAAAAAAGAAATACGGTGAAACCAGAAGGAAGGGAAGACTGAAGAGACCCACTGGAGAGAGATTACAGACTAGAGTGCTAAACAACTCTAAATATAAAATGTTTTTACCCAAAGCTTCAACAGGAACTATAACCATTCAATGAGTATTTCAGGGAAGAGCAGTTTCCATTTCCACTTGTTTAAACAGACCTTGTACACGCAGGAATTACTCACAGATCCAGAAAGAAAGTGATCTTGTGAAGATCTGACTCTTGGTTAGAGATTAAGAAACTGAGCCAAGGGAATGATGGCTTTCAGATTCTTATTCCCCATTTTATGTCCATGATTTTTAAACCAGGACCGTCTTAGGTAAAACATATAAGCCTCTCTGAGATTCCATGATCACCTTCTCTCATTAACTATATTAGCACATTGTGCTTTCTTTACATGATGCAAAATTAAAATACCTCTTTTGAACCCTCACCTTGGGGACTAAATTGTTCAAAAGAAAACAAGAGACAAAGTCATCAACTGAAATTCCTCATCCAGTTGCAACTTTACCCTTTACCCAGCTACCCTTTGAAGGAATGTCTTCCTTGTACCCCAAACGCCTACACTTTTATCCTGGTTATGATTCAGAAGACATTCCTGAAGCCAAAAAAAGGAAGCATCCTTCTGCCACAGGTGCAGAAGTACTGCCCCAACATCCCTTTGGATTTGGGAGACCCATAAAGCATCACTGGCCCAACACTCACCCCTTAGAAGGAAGTGGGGAAGAGCAGCACTCAAGGCCAAGAGAGGCTGCATGTACCAGCACTCCCAGTAATACCCAGAAAATTTCATAAGTGACCTTAATGCCACTCACAGAGGAGCCATAACTCCTCCAGGCTTGCAGTTTTACATAGGCAGTGTTTGCTTAGGAAACTGTCCCTGTAATCTGCCTCCAAAAAAAAAAAAAAAAGAGCAGGTAGCAGAAACACACATCATACACAGATTTATGTTAGGAACTGCTCCTCTTAAGCTACAGAAAAAAGTAATATCATACATGTCTAGCCTTTGGTTTGATATATGTTAGATGTGAGGACTTTCAGTTTCCAAGAAATCTTAACCTTCAGTAGAGCCCCACAAAGGCAGAGTGTTGTGTTGACCAATGAATGTCAAGGCTTAGTAGTGGAACAAAAGAGATTAGTCTATTTTAACAAATTAAAGCAAGAATGTAGCAAACAGTCATTTGTAAAATATATAAATTCTATTTCAGGGATTTTTTAATTCGATTTCCCAGAACTCCATCAAAAAGATAAAATATATTTCCTAATTTAAATTTGCAGGATAAAATGTTTTATCTAACACAATTTCTAAGTATTAGCATATTTTGCAGCTACAATTTTGAGCATTCTATATAATTTAAATGCATACTATATCTTAACAAAAGTAACACTATTTAGCTATTACAATTAATTGTTATAGTGCTCTATATTTATGAGACATTTACCTCTTAAAACCCTAAATTGCAGTATTTGATCACTTTATTGCAATCGTTTTATTCCTAAAGTGCATAACATCACAAACTGAAATCCAATAAACATTATAAAAGAAACACAGCTTAATCAGAAAAATTAAAAAAAAAGAAAGGTATATTATCTGTAAATAATTAAGTTGCCTAATGATTAACAGAAAATATACTCAACAGGCATCTACCTGCCATCTTCATTGCTTCGATGAAATACAAGGAAAGGATCAGATTTCCCAAAGAAGTCCTTCTTGTCTAGCTTGTTTGCACAAAATTGCATTAAAACTGAATCCTGAAATGGGTAATAAGGAAAAATTACAGACAGCTTGCAGTCCACTACACTTAAAGAAAAAATAAAATTGACTAAACTATGCAAACAGAAAACAAAATAAAAAAATAAATCTTCTAAATGCCTTCTACATATTCACATTCGTGCAATGTCTTCACAGAGCAGTTTGAATGGCTGGAACCAAGAATTCCTTTTTAGAGACACCAGAAAAAGAACAATTTTTTATGCTAAAATGGCTCAGGATTTTTCAAGGATTTCCAGACATCCAAAACTGCATTCTGAAAGTATATGCATAGGCAAGGAAAATATATTAGAATTAATTTAAAAAACTCCAGTCAGGCATGACTCAGCCTCATTCCTTCAGTGACTTAGACCTGCTGCTGTCTGCTCCTTCTGCCTGTCAAGCAAGTGGCTGCTGGCTCTTAAGAATCCAGAACCTTCAAGAAAATGAGCCTGAGAGGTACCAAGTACATCCAATCTGACAACAAGAAAAGTTTCTTTGCTGTGATCAGGCAAACAAAGTCACACATGTCATCTCTTAGGGCAAAGTCAAGAATGAGAAAAGGATTATAAATGCAAAGATAAACCTGCAGACTCACCAGTTAATTGGGGCAGAGCCTGCTGGAATACTGTTCCATAAACAGGTCTGGAGATGCAACAGCAACGAGAGGATGATGGGCACACCACTGAGTGGGGCAGGGGAGCAGGTGACAAAGGACATTGCAAGGTCCACATTTCTCACAGCTTTCTGTCTTGGTCTTACTGCTAAGATTTGTGTTTCAAGAGTCTTGGAAACCTGAGACCCAGACCCAAGAAAGTCTGGAACAAGGATAACTTGTGCTTGGTAGAGGACCAGGAAAGGGAACCTTTAACACAGACCAGACACACAGAAGTCCACGGGACTTGGTAGGATGCACCTGAGAGTACTGATGGAATTAACCAATATCACTGTGGGGTCACTTTCAGTTATCTCTAAAAAGTAATGATATTCAGGGGAAGTTCTCCTGTCTTTGAGAAAGGGCAAGAGGATCCAAACCAGTTTTATCTTAAACCCTGAAATTATGATAGAGCAAATAATCCTGGAAATCATATGCAAACACGAGAAAAATAAGAAGGTCACTAAGAGACATCAGCAAGGATTTACAAAGGGGAAATTAATGCCTGATCCACTGGAACAGCCTAGTGGGCGTTGTTTATTCTTCACCTTAGCACGGCCTTATACACTGTCTCCCATAAATCCTTGTTCACAAACTAATGAATTATAGACTAGATAATGCCAGTGAGGGACACTGAAAAAGGACTGAACTGCTGGGCTTCAAAGGGTCATATTGAGTGGCAATAAGTCCACCTGGAACCAGTCACTAGCAGTGTACCTAAGGCATCAAAAATGGGCCAAAAATATTGAACATCTTCATTAACAATCTGGATGATGGACAGAGTAGACCCTCTGGAAGTTTGCAAACAACAGGAAACTAGAACTAGCAGTTTATACAACAGATGGCTGTGCTGTCATTCAGAGACATCTGTACAGGCTGGAGAAACAAACCAATACGAACCTCATGGGGTTCAACAGAGTGAAATGCCAGGTTCTGCACTTGGAGGGGAATAGCCTCATGCACCAGTACAGGCTGCAGCCAAACAGCTGGAAAGCAGCTGGGCAGAAGAGGACTGAAGGGGCTTGGTGGACACCAAGTTCATCAATGAGACCTTGTCAGCAAAAGCCGACAGCCTGTAGGGCTACATTAGGAAGAGTGCTGACAGAAAGTTGAAGGAAGTGACTCAGTTCTGGTGAGGCCACTCCTGAAGTACTGCTCATTCCTGCAGCACTGTTCTAGGCTACCTAGTACAAGGAAGGCACAAACTTGCTAAAGCAATTCTACCAAAAATGTCACTAAAATGATTAAGGGATTGGACCATCCCTCATCTGAGGAGAGGCAGAGAGAGCTAAAATTATTTAGCCTGGAAAACAGGTTTATCAATTTGTGTAAGTACATGATTCTAGGGAATAAACAGCCTATGGTTACTGGCATCCATGGAAGAAAAGGTGGCAATATGCACATACTTGGAATGTGAGAAATTCCACTTAAATATAAGGAAAAACCTTTTTACTTTGTGTGCTGAAAAGCTGTAACAGAGAAATTGTGGAGATTGCTCGGATTCAAAGCCCAACTGCACAAAGCCCTAAGAAACCTGCCCTAAGAAAGGCAGGACTTTTGGACTAGACAGTCTTCCAAGGTCTTTCCCAACCTCAGGAATTATGTGATTGCAAAACTCACTGACATTCTGAATATGAGCTATAAAAATCTGGATAAAGTACAAAAATACAGAAGATCAAGTATGTGACAGCTGCTGAGACATTGCAAAAGACTGTGGACATGAAGAAGCATTAGAGAGGATGCAAGAGATATTGAGCATTAACTTCTGCTTCTTTCTGCTTCTTCTCTATAAAACTAAGAGCAACTTAAAAGTAAACAGTATTTTAACTTCCCATATAAATCACAAAATTCAAATTTGTAAGTTATACCATTAACAATCCAGTGCAGTGTAAATCATAAAATAATTTCCATGTTATTTTTGAAAAGCAATAAGCACACTTACTCTGCAACAGCCTAGTTCCTCTGCTGTTACTATGACCGTTCCACACTTCTTCCCAGGGATTCCTCTGCAAGGAAACACAACCACATCACCTTAGCTCCTAAATATTATGTATGAAAGTTATGACTGACACAGAGGGCACAAGGTAAGTTTTCAAGTCACGAAGCTGATGGTATGCAATTCAGTTTCCCTTTTCTGCCACTTGTCCTGTGTAAAAAAATTTGGTTTATCCTAACTGAATTGGTAAATGAGTTGTACATTTATTCTAACTAGAGAGAAACAAATCAGTTTTGATTTTAAAGGAAACAGAATTAAAAGTTTAAATAGGTTGAAATACTACCAGAAATCTACTGTGCACCCCCACATGGATGTTTCCTTTTGATACTCTACAACTGATTTGTGAAAAACATCCTATTGCAAATTTTACTTAAACAAAATACCTAAAATGTAGTTAAAAGTAAACACTAGCATTATTTTACAACATTTATTCTGAAACGTCTATGAAGACACATAATAATCTAACCATCATATCTGATACAGGAGTTGCAAAATAAATTACTATTCACCTAGACAGGAATTAAAAACATATGCTGCAACACCAGAAAGCCAAAAACACTTCCTCAGCATAAAAAGCAGCAGAGAAACAGAAATAATCTGATAGTATTCAGTGCCAACAGCCTTTTGGAGGGGGACACATTCAACGCAGAGGGCCATGGGCATTATAAAAGAAGGACAATATTGACATGATGGTTGATAAAGAGGTGAGATACTTCAAGATTAGCACAGAATTTCTCTGCAGAACCAAAAGTTCTCATTTTTCAGGAACTAAAAACTCTATCAAATGACTTGTGCAGTTTTTGATGCTATTAAGTACAAAGTTTGTATGCTTGAGTCTACATGCGTGAAAATAGTACTGGACCATTGGCAAACACTAAGGAGTTTGTTCCCTTACAAATTCCCTTGAAAATCATTCATTAAGAAAAAAATCCTTAAATGTAAACTAAGCACCCTGACAAAAACCTCAGTGGTCACAGATGAGGCAAATGGAACAAACTTCAACTAGCAATAATGCCCTGTAAGAAAATAATAAAATAATTTCAAGCTGGTCAAAATTTCAAGTATGAAAAAAAATAATTACTTAGAGATTCATCATTACAGACCAGTCTTTCCAATTGCCAGAGAAATACTGGCTAATACTATGTTGAAGACAAGCATGTAAGAGTTCCAACTCTTTAAATCCAGAATGCAGTGCCATTGTCCATTTTCCTCAGCTCTAAGGGATAGCTGGTAGTGAGCTACACTGGAACTGGTTCTATGGCACTGAAATTACAATAGAAAATTTATGTTCAGGCAACTAGTTTCTCAGAGTTTCTCCAGAAAGAGTTACAGAGCAGGGTTTGTGGAATAATGATGAGCATTAGAGAGATTTTCTGTAACCTGTACTGCATAAATGCAGTCAACTCCATCATTCAGGGCTAGTTATCTGAAACTCAGATATAGAAAATGTGCCAGTCTAAGTGTGAATAGAGTGCAAATTGAAAAAAGGAAAACAAAATGTGAAAAATCTATATTTCAGTGGGTCCTACTGGCTTAAGAGTCCAGAACCTGTAGGTTTCTCTATAGGGATCACCTCTTTTTGGACAGTATTTGAAGGAGCAGGTAATTTCATTATTAGAGGAACAGAATAGAAAACCATTATCAAATTAAAGGTTTTCAAAAATACCTGCATGTCTAGATAAGATACAGTATTGAGAAGTAATTATTGTCTCCTTAGAACAAATTATTCCACAATTGACATATCTGCAGCACCAAGAGAAGTTTAAAAGGACACTCTGAAGAGTACTTGGGCTTTAACAAGGACTGAAAGGAGGACCTCTACAGAGTCTGTGTAAAAGATGACAATTTATGCAGAAATTCAAATCTGAGAGGTGAAAAAGTCTCCAATTCTGCAAGCTGGAATTGCAATGAGGCAGAAGATAGAACATTTTTCAGGTCATTCAAAAATTTACAGTCTTATCCATAAATTTGTAGAGCCTAGCCCTCTGACAGTCACATCCACAGATAAAAGGACAGGGCAAATATATATAGAAAGTCAGTTCAGGTGTTTTTCTATCAGTTATGTTCACAGCAAGATGACAGGAGAAAGAACTTCATATAACAGGCCAGCTGGCTCCAGTACAGCCTCATTAGCAGGCAACGGCACTCAGGTGTGAATAACCAGCAGAGAACACTCATTAAGCTTTGCAATGGCCCTATCTCCTCATCAAAGGGAATCCCTACAGGAATGCACTTAGCAGATACTGAAAAAAAAACACTGCTCAGAGTTATAAATGTGGCTAGAATCTTCTCTCTAGGAAGACAGAACATGCAAAAATCTAATTCTGGATAATGCCTGAGCAGGTGACACTCTCTTGAGAGAAAAATGAAACCACACAATTTCTGGAAGTGGATGCATCTGCACATTATCCTTTCGTGCCAATACAGCTGGAACATGCAAAGCCAGTCAGGGTAAATCTTACTCATGGAGCTTGTCTTGAGAAGGCATTTAATGAATCTAATAACCTAACAGGTAAAGAGAACAAATATTACTGTTAAAATGTCACATTATCCATTTCACCTTCTTTGAATTAGTAGAATTATTTTCCAATAGAAATTATCCAAAACATATGGGCACATCTGTACCTGGCCAGTCTGTAAAATAAAGTGCAGCACTAAAGTATGTTCTTGAACAAAAAATGCTCACTGTGACAAGGATAACAGGCTACCACACTACAATACTGGGAGCAAGACTCTCCTGTGACAGAAACAGAGAGGGAGGTTCAGGGGACAATCTCACAACTGCCAAGAAAAAATACTGTCAGGTTTCTGCCTCAGAGGTGTAATCCACTGGTGCTTTTAACACCAATGAAACTGCAAGGCATGCATGCCATGTAGGCAAAGAAAACTGAATTGTGTACCTTCACTTTTGTACTTGCTATGAAGACTAGTGCAAGGTGGGTTTCAGCCTTCCTGCGTGACCACAGCAATGGTGACCCTCTAGGCTTGACTCGTTTAACTTTGAGGAAGGACAAGACTACCCCTTCACTGTAGGCTTCCTAAGGCAACTTTCCCTGATGATACACAATTTGACTTGAAGCTGGACAGCTCATGACAGCCATGGAGTCCTGAATTGTGTAAGACTTTTGTAAATGCCTAAAGTAGATAGAGCTGAAGAATAAGCCTCAAGTCTTTCTAATTTTCATTTTAAAAGAACATCAGAGCTTACTTGAATGCTAATCAGAGAGCGGAATTCAAGCTTCTCAAACTGCTAAGTATAAAAAGTGCTACTTCTGTAGGGTAGCTGATTGGGACTAAAACAGCACCAAGCATTGTCTTCTTTGTACATGCATTGGCAGAGAACTGAAGAGGGAAAATGTTAATGAACTTCAGAAAAACGGTGAAAAGATAAAGCTCTCTTAACTCATAAAGAACATTCATGCTATGAGAACACAGACATGACTTCATAAAGAGAACAGTAAATTAAAGCAGTAAATATTCCTAAGAAGGGAAGACATGCAATATTGTCAATTCAATTCTCATTATTTGAATATCAAGAGACATTAAACACACATCTAAAAGGAAACAATCCTGAAATGCAATGCAATAGTTTCACGAACAACAGAAATATCTACTAGACACCCAGATATCCAGACTTCAGAGTCCAGAATGGACAATCATTCAGGCACACTTGTCAAGTCACAGCACTGTCAAAAGCACCAATGACATAATAAAACAGGGACACTATGAAGAACTGATAAAAACTCAAACACTCTTCACTAACATGTATCTACCCACATGTTGGGTCCACTTAGTAACTACCATACAAGAGAGTATCAGAACCCAGACCTGAGAAATGCATGTCTGCCTAAGAGAAAATATATTACACAGGCCAACACAACTGTGAAGTAAGACTTTTTTCCACAGATTCTTCACTGATATTTTTTTCTTTTCTCATAGATCATTCAAAACTTTAAACTTCATCTGTTACTCATTTTAGACTTCATTTAACCTGTACCAAATGCTAAACTGCTGAATGGATGCCTTTTAATCTACATGTTCAAAATAAATTTTAGGACTTTTCTCAGTGAAAAAAACGTATACTGCACTGAATAATTTACTAATTGAGCACAGAAACAGATTTGAAGACTTTCAAAAAGTCAGATAAGATTCATCTTGCTAAATATAAGGGTCTTCAAAGCGAGCACTTTCTCTGAACAAGTGCCCACAGGCTTCCAGTAGAATCACCTGACAATGAGTACACCCAGTCCATGAGGTTGTGACAGTGCAATTCACTGTGGCAGCTGGCACGAGCTAGGCCTAGACAGGGACAAGTCAGTGAGCTCTTGTTTTAGTACAAGTAAACAAAACAGGGCCAACCTCCTGTCCCAATTGACAAGACAGAATTTCTGTGCTTGAACTGTGCAGCTGTCAAGAACTAAAAACACATCCAGAACAAGCAGTGACTGTGTGTTGCCATCCCACAGGGCTGGGGCTCTGGTTCTCCTGGGACAGCCCAGGAGCTGGGCAGGGACTGTTTCCTTAATTGTGTAACTGGAGTTCCCCTGCCTGTGCCTTGTACCTCTGTGATTCTTTGAGTGTGTGGAGATGGGTTTCCATAAGCTGATGACTCTCCTGGGATGGGTCTGAAAGTAGCCAGGGCAAGGTATCTGGGCTCCTCCATCTACCATTGGGACACTCCTCTCGTTTGTTTGCAGATAACCTTTTTAATTACATAACCTAACATAACTTTTCTATTATGACACTTACTGTACTGGTCCTCAAGGTTATTTCCCAGACATGTTTTTAGAAGTTTAATATCCAGAATGGGATTAAGGGGAGAATCACAAAATATCGTTGTCTAACAAACACAGTATTTGCTGATGTTAATAATTTTCTGTGATTGTATTAGAAATCTGATAATCTGGTCAGCTAATTCTTCACTGTTTCTTTGTGAAGGTTTTTTGCAAGAACTCAAATGCTTGAACAAAAGGTAAAAAAAGTTTTATGGTGTGCTAATTTGCAAACTAAAACAAAAACATTTTTTAGAATAGTACACTCAAGCTATTTCCAATGCAAGATGAAACAAGGTTGACAATAATTTTAAATTAGTCAATTCCTTTGCTAGTTGTCCAAAATGAAACCTAAATTATCATAGCCTATATAAAGAAAGATTTCCATTCCATGTAACTATTTACTCTCTCTTAAAAGCCTGTCAAAATATCAAGACATCTCACAGCAAAAAGGTTCCACACCTCTTGCCTCATGCAGCAGTATGCATTCATCCAGCATTCCAGAATACTTACACAATTGATTTTTCCAGTCTGCTCCCCTGTGATCCCACTATTTCTCCCAGTGTACAAAACATCTGTCCCAAAAAATCCTGAAAAGCAGTAACATAAAAAACTCAGAATTGTATTTCACACAATGAAATTTGATTTCCTATTTATCTGAGCTGTTGCCTACTGAAGAACAGATTCTGCTAAACACCACATCTCAGTAATACCTATCTAATAATGAATCATAAACAGACTCACTACCACCTATTTGACATAACAGTAGGTTACATTTACAGATGTAATTCTAAGGCACTACACAATCACTACAGGGAGCGTGTAATTGCAGATCAATGGCTAAAAGTCTCATCTTTTCACTGTGAAGTACACACACAACATTCCTTCTACTATCCTCTTTTCCTTTGTTCCAGGTTCTCAAAGGTTCTCTTACCAAAGCCTTCCTGTATTTGTTTTTTAAAAAATTCACTGAGAAGCCTCTGAATTCTACTCTTGCATCTCTAAATTTTAAAGTTACTATTTCATCACTCCCACTTCAAGACAACATAAGTATAAAAGGTTTCTTCTAACACTGAGACACAATTAAAGCATGCTTCAGTTTTAGGGCCCAAATAAGTATCAACAAATTGCAATACATTACATATCTGAAAAGGTGTACATGCATGCTCAAATATGCCCTTTGCAAGAGAAATGTCCCATTAAAATTATACTCATTAGCATTATGTGTTTTCACTCATAGCACAATCACTGTATTTGTCTCTATGTACCTGATATTACTTACAGTCAAAAGATAATAAACGTACTTAAGTTAGCACAAGGAATTATAATAGTGAGGAAGAACTTACGTGTTTTGACAGGTTAGGACTCTTTGAGTCAACATCATAGCTTACAAAAAAAAAAAAAAAGAAAACTTGTATCAGCGTTGCCAGATGACATATCTGAGGACAATTATGTAAAGAAACAAAAATCAAACAATTCTTTCACCTATTTACATAAACAGATTTGTGAATCAAAGTTCCCCAGTAAGGAAGACAAATTGAGTCATCACATATTATAGAACTATGGTTCACTAATTATTTGAAATTAAATAGTTTTAAATAAAGTGCAAGTTTTAAAGAGAAATTCTTCTGATATTCCTGTTTGAACAATGAAAGATGAAAAAAGCAGACCAAAAATTAAAAATTAATCTTAGAAAACAAACTAACTAAGCAAATAGAAATAACTGACAAGAACTAAACTTCTTTTAGCAAGAGTTTGACTTGTTCTTTTGAGTTTATCACAATCTTGGTCTCCCTCCAGCTAGAAAATGTTATACTTTCCCTTCCATAATCAAGTCAAGAGTTAAAACAATTACTCTCCGAATTGAAGAGATTGAAAAAAATAACGTAATAAATTCATACAGGATTACTAAACTCTATAACAGTCTTCCATCTTTATCAGATAATGCAAGTAATACTTTTATCAAATAACCCATCCAGATTCAATACCACTAACTAAACTGAAAATGTTTTTATCAGTTATGTTACTGCCCATCTCAGGATCCCTGCATGTTTCTGTTCCCACTGCATGGAATGCTATCCTTTGGTTGTGCTGCCACACACATGGGTTGCTGGGGTGCATCATGGACCACATCACAAGTCAGGATGACAGGAATACCATAACATAGCTGGATGTGGTGCAGCACAGTCAAAGCTTCAGAAACAGCTTTATAAAGAAAATAAATTCCTCTAAATACCATTAACATGAGTTAAAACATCCAATTAAAAGCAAACTATTTGGTGAAATTGAATGAACAGAAAAACACAACTTATTATTTGACCTGAGGGATAGCTACAGAAGTAAAACAAAGAACAACTTCACTGGCGAAATCACTAAGTACCAGCTGTGAGCAGAAAGGGGCCTGTGACATTGGTGGCTGTACGTTTTAGGAGGGGTCATGCTCATTTATTGAAGCAGCAAATATCAAATATATATTTGCCACTTGATTTTTTTTCCCCCTGCAAAATATATGAATCACATAAGGAATTTCTTTGAAAAATAACACTTTGGCCAACAGTAGTACACAATTTTGCCAGGGAACTGAATACAGGAAACTTTCAAAGTTTCAGAATCGGGATTTAATCCATGAGTGGCTATGTGAGATTCACATTTCTAACTCAGAGTTCTGAGATACTTAATTTTTTTGTCTATCATTGTTATAGAGCTCTAGAGTAAATTCACACAATATGGCTACATGGTCATCTGAAGACAAAGACAGCAGCAGCTATTCAGCTTTAATCTCAGAACAGACTTGTGTCCAGGTAACCCAGGACAGCAGCAGAAAGCAGTCAGGTCTTTCTGATAAGTACAGAGAATGTGTGATACTTACAGCGTTTCATAAACAGACACGAGTCCATTTCTCTGACTACATAAAGAATTAAACAGGAGACTGTGTCTTCCCTTCCAGGCCCTTTCCAGATAGCACTTATCCAGAAAGTCTTTACAGACTCCCCTTTCTTTCTACAGACAGAGCTTGCCTTTCACTTTTCATTTCTATTGCACTGCCCCCTCCCCATAACCTACATGCATCCTACGAGAAGCAGGAGGCAAACAGATACAGATTTCCACGCAGCCCCCACTGTGTGGCTATTTCAGTAATGCTTTATACTTGGAGAGGAATCCTTTATTTCACAAATTGATTAGGTCTGACTTAAAACTTATTTTAAATAACTCACAATAGTTATACTCCAGAGACTGAATGACATTAAACCCAACTTTTAAAACTACAAATAAAGTCTGCATCAGGCTTCCATTGTGAAAGTCAAAGAATTTGTACCTAGCCACCTCAAAGCACCCTGTAATCTTCCTGGCTTTAAATATTTCCTTTCATTCCTTGAAATAGGTGGTTTAGTACATCTTACAAAGGAAGTGAAAAGAAATTGGAAAAGGGTTCTTCAACTAAAAAAGGACATACAAAGAAAATTTGTGGCCACAATGTATAGCGGGATGCAAAATTGCAGCAAAAACTTAATTATCTGTGAAGGTTATTCATACTCTCTCCTAGAACAAGGTTAAGAAAGAACTGCTAGAAAGAGGATGAAAATTAAAATAAACAAGACAATCTTGATTATCACAAAGACTGAAATAATCAGTAAGGACTGACATATAAGAGACGACATGCATGACCTGGTGACTGGACTCTCAATTCTGTTTTCCAAAGAATAAAGTAAGTGAAAGTCATTTCCACCAGTGGGAAGAACTGAGAACATCTGGAATAATGTCAGAAGCTATCTATTTCTAGAACAACTGCTGTTGTTTTAAAATCTTAAAATTTAGTATATTTAGATGCAGAGTAAAGAAAATTTTGTCTCTACTACTTGTACAGTATTTTATTTCTGGACAGTATATCTGTACCTGTTTTGCTGGCTATGCTGCAAGAATATTTCAGCATTTTGACATCTTTTCCTTTCTATTTTCTGAAAGTAATAATTATAAGCATAATTGTACTTTGACTAGTTAACATCTGCCAATTTCTTAAAACTCTGTCATTATTATGTTACACATTTATTTCTGAGGAAGCAATGCTAAATCAGTCATGTTTATTACATTAGTTTATCTTATGTCAATAAATACCATCTCTCTTCAAGTCAATTTTGTGCTGGACAAAACTTTACATGCTTACAGAGGTTACAATATTAGAGTGAAAGACTGTTAACTTACAAATCAAATCGCAGATTCTCTCTTTCTTCAAAGAAGTAGTCCATTATAAATTTTCTTACAAAATCTGGATTTAAAGTGTTATCAATTACTTCTGTTCTTCCAAACTGTAAAAGAAAAGTGTAAGTTTAAGCTACAGATGCCATGAAAGAAAATGACTGCATTCACATTAACAGATCAGTTACTTTTGGATGAAGACAGAGTGGCAGAAGACCTCGTATTTCAACACAGTGGCACATATCTTGTATTGTATAACCTAAACTTCATTAACATCAGCTCTCAAAGCCAATAAAATACACAAAAATGTGAATCAGTAACAAAAATCCATGTTTCCTGAAAAAAGTGCCAAACACAACAGCAAGCAAAAGCTTGCATATATTGCTTATTTCAGATAGTTTTAAATATTGGGGAACACAGTCCTTCCACTGTAAATGCATAATTTTTGAATCATCTCCTATTTCACCTCAGTTCACCTCTCTCTTCATCACTCCTCTCTCTGAGATTTTGGCAAAATGCCTTTTCTTTCTTGATGTTTATAGGAAGTACCTTAGCCTCTGTCAAGCTGAAAATAATTTAAAAAAAAAAAAAAAAAAAATCAAACCTTAGCTGGGGAAGGCTCAGAGCAACCTCGCCTGACTTTGGAGATGGCTTTTCATGGATCAGGAAGATGAACCAGGTACAGCAGATGAATAGGAGGCTGGATAACATACAGGTTCTTTTCACTTAAATTATTTAATGATTGTCATATTTCATATATCATGGGTTTAAATTTTGTAGCTCCATTAGAAATAGAATTATGTATCAATCCAAAGGAAAAGTTACTTCACAAGAAAAAGAAGTTATAAAACGGCAGTTAAGCATCAGTTTTAATCTCTTAAAATAATGAAATATCATAAATGTATAAGTACATTTCATCTCTTCAATTCTGCATTGTTTTCAATAAACAGTACTTCATTTTACACTGCAACCATGTTACCCTTGGGAAATCTGTCAGACTCGATTTACAGTACATTACAGAAGTGTATCAGTAACCTAAGATAAATATGCAGTGTGCTGATGATCAAATCACACCGAGACCAGAAAAGGTCTAACTGAATACCCATTACACTGTCACCTTCATCTCTCACCAGTTATACTCAGATTGTTACAAAACTCAAGAGACAATTCAGTGGCACTACTAACTTTTCTTTAAATTATTTTAAATTACTGGTTTGGGTTTTAGTGGAGGCTTCAGTCTTTTTGTCTGTTTACTTCTTTTTTACATGGGCTACATAAATGATTCCTTCATATATGTTTGAACTCAATGACCTTAAAGACCTTTTTCAACCTAAATGGTTCTATGATTAAACTACTATAACTAATTACCTAACTTACTAATTACTAATAGAATTTACCTTACTTGTGACATCAAAATGCTGTTCTCTAAAAATCACTAGTCTACACTTTCCAGCTAAATTAAGCACCTTTTGAAATCTGTTCTCCCAATTACCTATTTTAAGCAGAAGAGGTTACTTCTGTAATCCAGTCACTTATGACTAATAACATAGCTACTGATTAATTAGTTCTCCACATGGCTTACTTTCTCCACTAACAATTGAGTAAAGCTACAATTTCAACATGGCCAAGAAGCAAAAACCTTCAGAAGCACTATTCAGGAGAGTAACAGAATCAATGTAACTATTTAAAGGGACTAATCTTCTACTTACCACCTTAATTTTTTTTTACTGCTGGTATAAATATAATATGCCAGAACATATAAAACACAATCCTGATTAAGACCCTCCACAATGCCAACCTCTAAATTTTGACTGTTATAACAGACACTAGGAATGGATTCTACTCACTGAACTCTACATCTGATATAGTCAAAAGTTCAGGCTTTTGATCATCTCTTGGAGGCATTTATATAGAATGACTCATCTGATCTAATGCAGACATCTAAATTAGGCCTGATGAACTGCTCTCAGGATGTTATTTTTTCCACTAAGTGTAAACAGAAAAGTGAGTTGAAAATATTTGTACCTGAACCTCCTGATAGACAAGATGGAGATAATTATGATTTAAAACAAAAAAAACTCTGATTTTCTAGCAACTGCGATGTTAAAAGTCTGTTTTAATGCCTGTAGATCTTAAACTTCCTCTTTACTTATATGTACTTCTAGATAAGATTGTATTATAATCTTACCATCAGGACAATTTTAATATTAAAATGGTAAGTACTTGTTTTAACAGCTACACAAGAGAAGTATGAAAATTACATATGAACCCTAGACAGTAATAAAAGCCAAAATTTTGAGTGCCAAAATCGTCTGAACTCTGGACCAGAAGAGGACCCAAATGCTTAAGCGATGATCTAAGCTTGACAAGCAAACTGTACCAAGTCACCTAGGCTCCTGAATGACTTAAGAATCTGCTGTTGTCACAGTTTGCTATCCAGATATTTATAACCCTGTTTATGTCCACTGCATCTCCTAATTGACCTATGATTAGGGAATTCCCATTATGAGTCCCTAAACTGACATTTCTTCACACAAATCATCAGAGGGATGTGATCCAGTAGGTATACTGAGAGGATGTCTAATACCCACTTAAGAACAACACAAACCAGCAATTTTCCTATAAACTACAAATTAAATAGGTACACTGTTTCACATATTGCAGTTACATGAGCTTTTCCCCAGGCATGAGACAAATTCAATTCTCTCTTCTTGACAAGACTGAAACTCACATCCACCATGTTTCAGGAAAGCAGAAGATACAATTCTCTGGCCAGTTGGCCATAAAATACCAGTTCTGAAAATAACAGTATCAGACCTCCTCTCTTTTACAGGGAAAAACAGTAAGATAGTACATTCCACTCTTGGCTCTGTTCTTAAGGCCCATGGCCACACAGCAATCCACCTGTAGTGAAGAACATCTCCACCAATCTTCTCTGAAGACAGGTAAAAGTGTATTTTATCAGTAGAAAGATTACCACCCTTCCCCAATACTATCAACTCTTTCTGATAACCTTAAGAATAACATTAGAGGAGAAAAATTAGATGACTAAGTACTGGGACAGAGTTCCACGCCATAAATGTTGATCTGCAGGTATCCAATTCTGAGGTACTTGATTTAGTTTCTTAAGACATATCTCTCCAGAGTGTTTACACTCACAAATAGGAAGAAAAAAGTCCAACCTATGCATAATATCCTCCCTCCCTTGTTGCCTACAATAGTGCACAGTCTATTCAGCAGCATGTAACTTCTCTGAAGCACTGCACAGCAAAGGCAGATCTCTACCACAACTACAGGCTAGTTTTGCTGACACCATCAGCACAGCTCAGTCCTGTTTGAATGTCTTCCTCTCGAGAGCCACAAACCTTATCCAAATTGACAGCTAAGTCTGGTTTAATTTATCTGAGGGAGACTGTAAAATGGGAAACTCATGCATTTTATCTATTTTGTTTTCTTTTTTGATGGAAATATGTGATGAAGATATGGAAATTGAGATCAATGTGACTACATTTTAAGTGTTTGATAGTAAATAGGACCCCCATAAGCCTAGTATGGCATTCAAGAGGCTATGACATGCTCTCTACTGCTAGGACAAATGACCAGCCTCAAATATACCCAAAAGGTTTATACACCTATGAATATGCATCTTACCTCTCTCCATTCTTTGTTTCCAATTGCTTGCGTGTACAAAACACAGACTGTGATGGGAAAAAAAAAAAGAGTTTGGTTATTTTTAAACTTGAACATATCCTTAAATAAAGTGAACTAATTTTGTAGTCTCTTGTGCTGTGGAAATTAGTAACTAGGACAATCAAATGGTAAGGTTTTCCTTCAGCTGTCAGCAATCCTAATCAGACTGGTGACCATGTGGTGTACTTGTTGCAGAAATCAGCTAATAAATGGACTGCTTCTAAAATAGGAGGCAGCACTTACACCTGACCTCCAGCAAAGCACTTGACAATCTTTAAAGGCAAAATTGGATAAAAGCAGGTCTTCTTTAAATGTGGGTGGTCAGACTATTCAAGATAATCTAATGCACAATTACCCTAAAATCTACTTTCTTCAAGAGAGAAGAAAATAAAAGTAAAAAAGCAGACTGAAAAGAAACAGGGGAAACAGAATCAGAAAAAGGAAAAAAAAAAGCTCTCAGGTTTTCTTCCTCAATTCTACTTCAAATTATTTATATATATTTAAGCATCTCACATATGCATGCTTTATTTTTTTTTTAACTAAAGCCTGATAAAAAATTGAATCAATTAATTTGCTGACCTAATCTGTTTTTGAAAGACCAAGCAGAACAATCCCACAGGTGTGACACAGAATCTCTATTTCTAGAACAGCACTCACTACACATTAAGCTGCAGCTTTCACCACAAGGACTGGTGATAGGGGTGCAGTGATTATAATCAGGTCTTTTAAACACTGTTTTAAGTACAGATCATTTGCACTGAAGGAGCACTATAAACCTTATTTTTACAGTCTATTTTCTACTAGTTGCAGGTAACTACGATAAAGCATATGATAAATTTTTACCTGAAACTCCTCTTCAAACCCTTCCTGAACAACAGAAACACAGGTATTTCAACATTCTTTTCCTGTACCAATCATTATTTTTTAAAAGAAGGTAAAAATAATACTGTTTCAGGTTGCAGCCTTGAACAACAAAGGTAGAGGTTTGATTTTATTGTCAGTGAAGTTAGTATCATCAACAGCTGAAAGCAGAAATGAAGTCAACCTTCTAAATACACTTTCTTCTTACTTGAAATGCATTTGCTCTACACCAAAAAAAAAAAAAAAGAAAAGAAAATCCCCTTAGGCAGTAGCAAATAAGAGGAGACACAGAAAAAAGCTATTTCAATATTTTAGCTCACATAGAAGCTAAAAGTTTACACTTTTATTTTTTAAGTAAGATGTCTTGTAGATGAAAAAAAGCTTTTACAAAAAAAAAAATTGAAAGTAATTCTCAGGAGATGTCTGTCTTTCCCTATTTACTTTAAATAAACCCTTGGCAATCATGTCCCTACCTTTGCTTACTATTCATAGTAGAGTGAACCCAAACCAAAAAGCTTATTTTTACAACACAAGCTGCTGGAATGTATTACATGAAGAATGAAGTGAAATGGGAAAATATAAGAAAACAGAATGAAATAGAAGCTGTGAAATGAGCTAAAGAAAGTTCTGTAGGTTCCTGAACTTCTGACTACCCATCCAGAATTGCAGAATCATAGAACATCCTGAGCTGGAAAGGATCCAGCTCCTGACCTGCACAGGACAGCCCAAGAGCATTTCCCAAACATTTCTTGAACTCTGTCAGGCTGGTGCTGTGACCACTGCCCTGTGGAGCCTGTTCCAGTGCCCAACCACCCTCTGGGGAAAATCCTTTTTTACTAATACCCAACTTAAACCTCCCCTGACACAACCTCAGGCTGTTCCCTTGGATTCTGTCACTGGTCACCACAGAGAAGAGATCAGTGAAAGCTGTAGATTGTAATAACGTCTCCCCCTCTAGGCTGTAGATGTGGCCAATATTTTAAATAAAATAAAAATATAGACTAATAAGCTATCACCTCATACAGCATATTATTTTAAGTAAAAGGTGCAAGTCTGACAGGGATACATACACATGTGCATCTCAAACTGACATTTCAAAATAAAGTCAGCCCTAATGAAAGCTATAGAAAAGACATACATTTCAATCTTTCTGATAAATACTTTGTAAATTTAGAAAAAAAATTTTGAATTATTCTATCTTTCTTCTAAAATGTACCCCATAAATTTAAGGAAGCCAACCATGATACTGGTCTCCATCAATGTTAAGATTCACTATCTCCAATGGGTCTCGGACGGAGTTTTGTAAAGATCTTGATACATTAATTGGAACAATCAGTCAAAAACTGTGTCAAATTCATATCAGACTGGAATAATGCAGATAAATACAGCTAAGTTGATCTAAAGCACTTGAAATGCTCACACCAGAGATTAAAGGCTCCATAAAGCAATCCATTTTTTAGTAGAAAACAGTTAACAGCATTGCCATGAGGGAGAAGAAGGAATAAAGGGGGATAAATAATATTTCAAAAGCCATCATATCATCCAATCACATCCTAAGACAGAGCTGAAAAAATAATTTTTCTCTCATAATCTCAAAAACTGAGGTAGCAATGAGAATGCTCACAGCAGCACACTAATGAACAGTAACTGAGAAACCCTTTTGGAAGGCTTTGCCATATTGAGTTGTTCCAAGAGAAGATACATCTACATCTGTAGTCAGGAATATTTAGTAATTTTCAACCTGGACACTGATACCACACTGTCATATTCAAGGCAGATTTAATTAAACCTTGCAATGAAGAAGAAGGTGGAAATGTCAACACTTATTACTTTGTTGTAGATACAGTTCCAAAAATATTACAGATTATTATAGCCTGCATCTTCCTATTTTCCCACAAAGACTGGGCCTCCCTCACCTGCCCTGCCCATCTCAGTTTTCCCAAACACATCTATTCCAGTTCAAGGAAGACTTACCCATGGTGAAATTCACCTTTTCCTCATGCTACCTAAATCTTTGCATAGTACCAGTTCTAGCAGGGCTCTCCAATACTCTTCACTGACCAGCTTTTATACCTTCCAGGCAGAGGTGCCCTAAGGTCCCTTTGTTCCAACTACCAAGAGATTCTTCATATTGTTACTATCCTCCCTGGGGAGATTCCCCAGGGAGGAGTTTTTACATTTTCAGTCATTCATCCTGGACTCTTTTGATGATTAATACTCAGGATCCACAGGGTTCCACAGGAGGATATTTCATCCAACTGTGCTGCTGCCAGCACAGCTCTGCAGGGCTCAGCTTGAGTTGTCAGAGTATGGGAAGAAAACAATTCTGCCTGTCATTAGACAGAAGAAACATGCCAAAATCATTAACCTGTATCTCCTCGCCAGGTCTCATCCCTGCCACATCAGGGAATCGCTACTTTAGCTCAGCTTTCTACAAGAAAAAAACCAAACCAACAAAACCCATAGATTTTTTTTTAAATATTCTTCAAAAAAATGGTCTCCAAACTGGAAGAGCAGAATGCTCCAAACACTACAGTAGATCAGTTTATATTACTTGCTTTGACTCCACTGAGCAGAAAGCACTGTCAGTAAGAGGCTTCAGGATTATTTAAAATACTTCATAAACAATGGCTATCCAAGCCTGTCCCATCTATATCTACTATCTCTACAGTTACTTCTGTCACTTGCCTCTGGGGAGGAAAAGTGACAGATTCCTCTTGGCATGGAATGTTCTAGATTGCAGGGAAATGGTCAAACTTGGAATACTGAGTAGCAAATACAGTATTAAAAAAAAGGGCAAGGATATCTCCTAAGAGAACCAGGAAAATCACAAAGTCCTTTTTAATTTCAGGAGAAGGATGTTTATAACTCATGGAAGTCAGCTACATTCATGTGTCTCCCTCTGAGAAAAAGACCAAGAAGATAAAATTGGATTTTCACTACCAGTAGGATCCTTAAATAAATGCACTGGACTATGAAAAGCATATTAGAACTGGCCTAGTCAAAAGCAATGAGACCTCAGCATACAGAATGACTCTACACGGTTCTATCTTGAGTGAGATCTAATGGCTGCAAATTCAGTGGCTGCAAAAGTAGATCTTTTGACAGTGGTAGGATGCGGATTTTGACACCTTTTTAGCTACAAAATAAACTTACTGTATACAGAGCAGCCTAAGAATGGCCTTGTTCAAGTGAATAGACATTGAGGAAAGTTGTCCTGCTGTACTTCCAAATACAGAAGAATAAGAACCTTTTGTGCTACTCACCTCTTTTACAGTAGGGCCATATCTCTGTGCCCAACTAAAGGACAGTACAAGCAAACAAACTAAACTGGCGATGAAAAAAAACCTGCGGAGTGCTAAAACTGGATGTACACTCTTTGGAAAGCACCCAAAATCAAAGCTGCTCTGACAAGTAATTTCTAGAGTGCAAATACAGTACGAGTACTTCTGGAGTCAACAGTTTCCCCCTTCTCTCCTCACCAAGGACATTGTTACTGTACTCCATGGTTCTATACTGCTAACCTATAACAGACAGGCCTGAATGGCAGCATAATTGGGTACTCACAACTGGAGACCAGATCTCGAAAGCACACCACCTATTTGAGTGCTTTAAATAAGCTATTTACATATTGAAAAAGTAGTATGTCACAAATGGATAAACAAGTTTACGATACCTTTAAAATATTTCCATATACTCTGAATCCATTAAAAAAACCCACCAGTTTACTTCTCACAAAGATACTAAGATTTCTTTAGGTTTTCCTGCCACTTTGCTTCCATGTTTTTCCCAGAAGGGGTCACCCACCAGCCATGATCACTTTGGTTCGCTCACCTGCAGGTTCTTGGGCTGTGCATAGGCTACAGAGCCTTTGGAGGTACTTTGCTGGAGCATCTCCTCTCCAGAGGGCATCTCCAGCAGTGCATCTGCACACATGTGGCTGTGGCAGTACTTTCAGCAGCTCTGTCTCTAGCTCACACCTGCTGACACATTTTTCCTGGGATGTGTTTGAGCAGGACACTGTGTGCTCTCTTGGCAAGCAGAAGTTCTGGCAGGCAAGAGCTGCTCATGTGGTTTCCAGAGCTGACTGGAACCAGCTGTGACTGTCACAGGGTGGTTCATGGCCTTCTCCCACACAGCTCACACTGCAGTCCCCTGCCACTGAAACCCTGCAATTTATGCTTAATATAGTGCCCTGTCTGATAAAGACTTGAAGTACTTGTCCTTAATAATTTTTGAGTTTAAGAACTGTAGACACCATATCACTTTTGCGAATATGAGAGATCTCTGAATTCATTATAGGCAATAGGTTACTAAGCATTCTTCAAAACAGTTTACCTGAGGGTCTTTTTTAACAGAATCACAGAATTTTTAGGGACATTTGAAGAGCATCCAATCCACCTCCCAACTAATCTTTACTCTTTTTTTTAGCCAACTACAACTTTTTATTTGTTTCTGTGTGGTCTCCCTATACCAGAGGCATAGTATTGCCTATGTCTCTTGGGGTTGTTTTGTTTTTTGGTTTTTATTTTTAAAAAAAGCTTTGCAGGTTAGAAACGTCAAAGGTACTCCTAACTTCTTGTAGTTTTTCCCCACGAAGTAGAAGCTTTCCCCTTCAAAAGTGTATTGTGGAATCTCTCAAAAATTTTTTGATGCAGAATGGAAGCATACTTTAACAGGCTTAAAGTAAGAAATTGAACTTATGCAGAAAAGAAAATGGAGAGCTGTAGGGGAGACCAGCTGACACTATAACCTAAGGACCAGTGTATTAACAGTACAAAACTCCTTTGAGTAATATTATCAGAAAAGAAAGGAAATTGTTTGTGTTCTTGGTTCCTTTATTAAAGTTTTCATAAAGCATCCAATATATAGCAAAGTAGTAATGGATTTTAAATCAAAAGTCCCATCATAAATTCATAGGCATGAGAGTTTTTGGGGGACCCAGTCATAATACAACTTATGAGAAAAGTGAGTGTCACTAGCTTACAGTTTTGAAAAGATTAATTAAAAAAACGTTACACCAATTTTTGATCAGGAAAGACAGTGTTTCACAGAGATTAATAAACTTAACTTTATTTTTCAGCATTTGACTCTAAGATTAGTAGGCAGTATGTACTAGCAGCAACAAATGCTTCTAGTTTATTTAGTATTTTGCCTAACAGCTTTGAAAAAGATCTAAAACAACAGATACTAAAAGAGAAACAACAACCAAACTTTCCAGAATGTGTTAATCCTAGGAAACTTTAGGTTAAATATTAAATAAGGGATTACTTAGCTCAGGAAAGCAGTATTAAAAACAGTCTTTAAAACTCTAGTTTGCATAACATTAATTATAAGTTTAACTTATTCAAGTGTAACTTAATTGTTCTAAGTAATTGTCATAAAGACAATGTAAACCTAACTGAAACTGAAGAAAATCACCCACCTAATTTTATTCCAGTGTTTGCACATTTAGAATATGTAATAAGAAGAAACAACAAAATACTATATACTCACTTGGATCAGATTTAGAAAATGTATCTCTGTCCAAAAGATTTCTATAGAAAAAAAAAGAAGAGATAAAAATAATCTTAGGTATAAAAAAATGCAAATCAGATACCAATGAACATACATTTTTAACAAATCAAGAGTCAGCTTAGTCTTCTCCCCTCGTAATACACACAAGACTTAGTCAGCACTAACACTAGAGTCAGCTTACAGTTCATTTTATTATTCATTTTGGATTCGAGCAAACTGTGGCCCATATACTCCAATACCATGAATCAAAAGACAACCACGTGTACATTATATACACATGTAACAGGCATCATGAAGAGAAATACCTTTAAATCACAAAGGTCTACCAGAGATTAACTTGCTAATTCAACACAAAAACCTTAGACTTTACATAAAAGAATGGCTATGAGATTTCAGAGCCATCAGGAAATATCTCTGAGAATCTGTGATGGGCAAGTAAGGTAAAGAGAACTAATCCACACAGAGAATATACCTAGGAATAAATATTAATTTTGTTATGGAATGCAGTTCCAATATCGTAACCACACTTCAGCCAGCTGAGAATCATACACAGATGAACAGACTTAAATTAACAATTCAGAAGTATCAGGACTGATCAGAAGCCATTATCAGAATAGTTACCAATATTTCACCATTCAAAAAAATTAAAGTAAATAAGTATTATAAATTGTCTTGACAGACTAGAAAAATGTTCTGAAACAGGATGCCATTGAAAAGGGACAAGAAAGAGCATCTCCTCTTTGGAAGGTATTAAAATTAACAGCAAAAATGCAGCATAGCTACATGGAGCTCAATATGCAGCACTTATGTCAAAAATAGTCCTAAACATCACAGTTGACCACAAATTGAATGCAAGTCAGGAGTCTCGTACCTTTGGCAAAAAGGCATGCTGGAATACACAAACAAAAATGCCCCTTTAGACTAATTGTCTGGTCTTCATAATACTGATAAACACTCAATTCAAACAATAATGTTTTGGGCACTCCAATGTCTTGCAATCTAAGACAGACATGGAGCCACTGGAGTTCAGTGAAAACAGAAATAATTGGAAGTATATAAACTCTATCTATGAGGGAAATACTGCTACAAATTGAAGTTGACCTCAATGTCGACAGATCAAGTAGGAACAGGTTTAACCATAAATTAAACCACAGGCACAGAAGCTGAAGTCTACTCCATTGTTTTACCATCTTTCACTGTTAAAGGTGGGAGACATGATGTGAAATCTCCATTGTCTTCAAGAACATATCAGATAGATACGACTTCTAGTAAGGTCTTTGATCCTATGCCAGAGCAAAAGGAAGGATTAAATAACCAGGTTATATCCCGTATAGCTAATTATTTTTAATAACTAGTGCAGCCTCTTCAAGGGGCACCATTATCTACTCTTATTCAGATCTAAATCACATTATTTTTGTGCTACTGAACAGTGCTGAAAAGTGTATTAATATTTTGTTCAATATAGATGTTCTAAGTGGTCCAATTAAGACTTCAGAAATGAAAAGACACTGTATTCCAGATTTAGGTATTGCCAAGTTCACACTTCAGAACAAGGAATATGAACAACAACAACAAAAAGCTTGAAAAGAACATTAGACAGATCTGTTTTATTTAATCTAGCCAAAGTAGGTACTAGCTTTAATATTAGTACTTGCGAATACACCTGAATTCTGCACACATTAATTCTTCAGAACTTCTCTAGTCCATTCAGAAGTGTAATTTTTATGCATACGATTATACTCAGTGAAACTATATCCTACCTTAATGAAAATCATGCAAAAATAAATTGGAAGCATTAAGAAACCCAGGAAAATCAGTGAACCCAAGTCAGTAGTTGACAGCAATAACTACAAACTGCTTTAAAAGACAGTACAGCAAGTTCTGAAATAATGGAATTGCCAACCCAAAATGAAAATGGCATCCTATTCCTCCGTAATTATACATACCTAGATACACCACTAATTCCTTGTAACTAGAATTGGATCATCCCAAGATGAATTGCAATAAAAACACAAAATTAGACGTTTATGAAAGCAATAGTACATTAGATTTTGCAACGAGCCTCCCATACTCATCATTAGAATTCCAAACAATTTTAATTCCTCTGTATGATGACTATACAGTGGCCTTAAAATTGGTATGTAAGTGCTTGTCACTGTAGATTAAGGAATTTTAGTCATACTTATACTGAGATAAAGTGCTTCGAGTTCTTTAGATACTTCCTACTCTTCTTATGCTCCCTTGTAAGTTTTGTTCCCCTCTATTTTCCATATACATACCAACATAAAGAGTAGCCTGGTACTGTACAGCTTAGTCTATCCTGATCCTTCCAACAGCTGCAAGAAGCAGTCACCATGGGAACAGCATAAAAGGAAGGTAAGAATCTGTAGATGAGAATCTACAGGTTTTTAAAGAATCTAAAGATAAAGAATCTTTAGTGAGTTAAGAACATTTCTACAGAAACAGTATCCCTGAAAGGATTGCAAGGCTAGAGACACCCAAGTTTAACACTGTCATTCCGGTCAGTTCATGCAATGAACTTGTGGTTTTGAACTAGTACAACTTGTAACACCCTCAATTCAACCTTTCACACACTTTCCTACAAATTAACAATGTCTTCAGCAAAGTTTGCAGCAAGCCTGATTGTCCAAATCATAAAGAGACAATCAAAATAGTAACAAAAGAACTTCACAAGCTGTTCAGGCAATGCAGCCAATTGCAAAAGGAACCTTAAAGAAAAAGTGCTAACAGGAAAAAAACAGAAAAAGAAGAGTCTGATTTGGACACTAAATCACCTAACACCTCAAAAGGCTGCTCAATTTCATTTCAGGGGATAACAATCAAAGTGGTCCTTTAAATATGAGAAAACTACACAGTATCTGCGCACAGGACAATCTACAACCACAAGAAATGGTAATGTAAAATAGAAAGCAGATTGAACCTATTTCTAGAACTTTAGGTAGTCTTTGTACTCTTAATTTTCAATGGCACTTTCTGTACATGCTGAGCAATAGAGTGTATTTTGTCCCTTTTTCCTGAGAAAAGCATTCTCTTTGGTAGTAAACTGTTTTGTCTCGGGAAAGCTCACAAAGCTTTCAGAAACCAGAAATATCTGAAACAACTTCTTCCTTCTCCTAATCAAAGTATGGAGAGAAACAGACTCATATTTTAACTGAACTTGGTGAGTGTATTTTATGTCTATGTCCATTAAGCCTTTCAGATAAAGAATGCAAAATGAAAAGGAATTCCCATCAATTATGAGAGAGGGAAAATAACCAAAATTTTTTCTTGAAAAACATGCATATCAAACACTTATAGCAAGGAAGTCTAGGAACATCTGTGCAGGAAGAATTATTCTACTAGCACAGACCTTGAAGGAATTCATTCTGCACCTACTCATTCTGGTGTGGACCTTCCAAAACAGCTGCAACAACACAGATGTCTAAGGGAAAAAAAATCAACAGAAGCCATGGCAATAACACTGGAAATGCTGGGGTAATTTTTTTTCAGTATAATAAGAGCAATTTCCCCAGGGTGGGAAAGAAAGTGATCAGTAAATAAGATAAAGTTAAAACATATTTAGCTATGCTAATAGAATCACTTTGTTCACACAGTTTCATAAAATCCATAAAAATTTATCAAAATAACAGTCCAGTGCCCAAGAAGTTTTTAATCATAGAATGTTTCAGTTGGAAGGGGACTACAGTGATCACGCAGTCTAACAGCCCAACCACCTCAGGGGTGACAAAAAGTTAAGACATGTTATTAAGGACAATGTCCAAATGTCTCTTAAACACTGTCAGGCCTGGGGCATCGACCTCTCTAGGAAGCCTGTTCCAGTATTTGACCACACTCTTAGCAAAGAAATGCTTCCTAATGTCAAGTGTTTTGAACTGTTTAATCTAAACCAAGTCGCACATATAAATCAGATGCCTCAAGATTCACCAATCTAGCTAGCAGTGGCAGCTGACCAAAACCCATCACAGCCTACGCTGCTTCCTACGACCTCTCATCCACTATGCACCATGGGCATGTTGACAGATGTACACTAAAAAGTAGCATTTACTCGCCTTGTCCACAAATACTTCCCTTCAAATTTTACTTTTAGCGATCAACATCTAAACTTCCTTCTCTGTAAATTTTTTTTAAGCCTTTGTTAAGGCAAACTGCTAAGCAGAAGTAAATCTAATTCCCCTGTCAGAAATTACAGAATTCTGGCCTTGAAGAAAGACCACAGTAAGTACAGAACTGAACATTGTAAAATCTGCTTCTCTAGTTTCAAAATTAAAAAAAAAATTAAATTCTGTATTGATTGGAAAAAGACTTATACATTGCTTTCAACAGCTCTGAAATCTTTAATGATAAATATGTCATTCACTTCAGATTAATGTGTCAAAATCTCTCTGGGTGCTATGGCTTCATGTTTCTCTTCCTCTTTGGATTACATTTAAATGCATGCAAAGATTTCTTGGTTCTGAAAAAAAGCACTCAGCAGTTTACAAACACAGAAGTTGGTTACTCACACAAAATAATTTTTAGAAAATATACATTTTCAGTACACCATATTTGTATTATATATTGCAAGTGCGCACTACTTCTCTCACATTTTTATCAACCCACAGGAAAAGGAATTGTCCCTAGTTCATTAAAAAAATGCATTTCTGTTTCCCTCACTTAATGATGGGCCCACATCACTTTTTCACGGAAGATCCTCATAAAGAAAGAAGCATCTTAATCACCTTTTAATGTGCAGAATAGTACCCACAGAGCTTCTAATTGTAATATAACTGTATTAACCTAGTAGGCACTGCACCTCAGCCTTAATGGTATCACTGAACCTGCAAGTATCAGTTCTAAGATGACGTATTATCCAAAGAGTCCACTCAAGTGAAGAGCCCACTTGACCTACCTGCAGAGTAATTCCACAAACTGTAGTGGCAGCTTAAGCAGTCACCCTTTCACAGCTGTTTACTCTCTCCTTCTCTATTCACTCAGAGCACAACAAAGCCAGCTATTAGCC